TCAGAGCTAAAGAACTGCTAAATTTTGGTGGGCTGTGTTGGGAATTGAACACAGGGCCTCATGCATGCTAGATAAGCACCCTACCACTGAACCACATTTCCAACTCATTTTGGTGGGTTTGTTATGCTTGATACTGTTAACAAGTGGCAGAGGATCCGGGACTTGAACAGTAACCATTTGATCATTTGATTTCAATGCCAGTGAATATTTTATTAAGGGAAAATAAGTTTTTCCTTGATTATATGCATCTATTTATATAGGTATTTCTCAAAGTGAGGCCTGCAGCTTGCTTACATGAAGATTACCAGGGGGCCAGGGCTATGGCTCAGTGGCAGAGTCTTTGCCTGGCATGTGTGGAGCACAGGTTCAATCCTCAGCAGTAGCACATAAAAATAAATAAAATACCTATAATCCCAGTGGCTGGGAAGGCCGAGGCAGAGGATAATGAGTTCAAAGCTGCCTCAACAAAAGCAAAAGGCTGAGCAACACAGTCAGACCGTGTCTCTAAATAAAATACAAAATAGGGTTGGGGATGTGGCTCAGTGGTCGAGTGCCTCTGAGTTTAATCCCCAGTACCAACCCCCCAAATATAAATAAGTATTCTATCCATCTACACCATCACCAACAACAAAAATTTAAAAAAAGATTATCAGCTGTTGGGGCTGCCATTATAGCTCAGTGGTAGAGCACTTGCCTAGCACATGTGAGCACCACATAAAAATAAATAAATAAAATAAAGGTATTGTGTCCATCTACAACTAAAAAAAAAAAAAAAAAAAAAAAAACTTTAAAAAAGATTATCAGCTGCATGTCAATTGTGGATTCACCATCTTATCCCAGACTCACTGAATTTGACTCTTCCAGGGGTGGGGTCTCAGAACTATTCTTAAACAAAATTCCCTAGTGATTTTCATGGATGTTAAAATGAAGGATTACTACTTCCATTCCTCAGCTAAAATTTTCAACACAATGAATCATATTTTCTCACTGTAGTAATGTTTTCTAGTTGTGTGTTCTTCTAGGGTTATTTGTGACCTAAGATTTTGCCAAAAAATATATACTGCCACCTTTTTTCAGACCTGCATGGTGTTGACACGTCCACTAAATATCTGGTAGAAAGAATTACCTAGCAATGAGTGAATGAATTGAGATAACAGGATGGTGAAATAGTGAATCAGAAGCTGGGTACAGTGGCTCATGCCTGTAATCCCAGGTACTCAGGAGCCTGAGGCAGGAGGATTGCAAGTTCAAAGCCACCCTCAGCAAGCCTCAGTCAGCCTTAGCAAGGCTCTAAAAACTAAGTCAAACCCTGTCTCAAAATAAAATATTAAAAGGACTGGGGATATGATTCAGTGGTTAAGCACCCCTGGGTTCAATCCCTGTTATTATATATATATATATATATATATATATATATATATATATATGAACACATACATACATGAACACACACATACATGAACACACACATACATATACACACATACATACATATACATACATGGAGAAAGAGAGGAGAGAGAATATGAATCAGAGTGTTACTCCTTGGATTAAAACTGGGAAATGACTTTTTTCTCTGTATTTTTCTTGTCCTATAGTTCTATATGTGGCCTAATGTCAGATGTAGAAAGAGGGGAGAAATGGAATAGGAAGGGCATTTCACAAGTAGCAGAATATAGACTTATTTTTTACTGTTGTTACCAAGAACATTGTTATTTTCACAGAGCAAGTACTAAGAGGAATAGGAAAGGACTTGACCCGAAATTGACTTTGAAAGCTTGTTCAGCCTGAACTACCCTTAGCAGGAACATTTTTGTTCATCTTCTGAAGTAGCCATTAGAGAAAATGGTAAGACCACTTCACTAGGGATGAAGTCTCAAGTTCACCTAACTATAGTTAAAAGTTTAAAGTGTCTTAGTTTGATGTCTTTTTGACTGGTCTGTTTCATGGCGTTCTTTTTTTATATATATATATAATTTTTTCACAAAAGGTAGAAAAGGAAAAATAATAACAGAAGGAAACTACTACAAAAAGTGCTGCTGGAAGCCTGTTCTTCAGATGATACCAGCACTTAGAACTTTTTATTCAAAGCTCTTTATTTCCTACAAACATTTTTTTTTTTTTTTCACTGTTGCAAAGGTAGAAGAGGCTCTAAAGAGCCAAAGTGCTGTGCTTTTTAAAACCTGCTGATCGACTTCTCATCTCTAACAGTACTGAAGTTTTGCCAGACCGGTTTATGTATGACAAACCACAAAACATATGCATAAGAAATGCAAACTCTTTTAACTGAGCTAATCCCAGGGTAAAAACTTACTTCTGGAGCAACGCAGCTGTTAAAATCAGTCATATTTACAATTTTTATAAATGAGTTTATTTTAGTAAAAACAAGTCACTCAGCGAGCATGATCTTTAAACAGATTTATGTGGGCTGGCACAATCTGCTATGCTAAACATATATGCATATTGCTTAAGTCTGCAACTGGATTTTTCAAGTGGTAACAGTCTTGCTTTGTACAAGGATACTAAGTAATTGGCAGCACTCCAGCTAAGGACACTGTTCTCAGCACTGTGCTATTGAAATTGTTTTCCTGGACAGAATTGCCCTGTGGCAATTGGGAGGATTCTGGGTTGCTGGCATTGAGCAGTGAACCAGGCAGACAGCTTATAGAGAGTAGGAGACTCTATAAACTCTATAAAGAGGAGGAAAAGTAGAATAAGAAGGATGGGAAGAAAGCAGGAAGGGAAGGAAAAGAGAGAAAAGTGAAGCTGATTTTCATCAGGCCTATCTAAAGGGTCTCTTTCTGTATCTTTGCTGGATCTCTTCTCACCTTTCACACTTTCATGCTCACGTGTTTTGCTCAGCTACTAGATTATAAGCTCTTGGAAAATAGGAATACGGTCATCTTTCCAATTTCGTTGGCTTCATATCTGTGGTTCAACCGATCGGAAAAAGAAAAAGGCATCTGTACTGAACATTACCAATTTTTTTTTCTTGTCATTATTGCCCAAATGATAGTCTATTTGCATAGCATTTTCATTGTATTAGATATTATAAATAACCTAGATGATATATCATGAGCTTTGTAATGTTTTGAACAACCAATAAAAAAAAATAACCTAGAGATGATTTAAAGCATGGTGAGGATCTGGGTGGATCCTATGCAAATACCATGCCATTTTACATAAGGCACTTGAGCATTGTTGAGATTTTGATCTCTTCAAAGGTTGTAGAACTAATCCCCTGCTAAACTGAGCTTTACTCTCCCACAGTGCCTGACATACATGATACTAAAATCCGAGTGGCTAATTGCATAAATAAAAGAAAAAATTTGGATATTTGAAGTATTTTCTTATCTTACCTCAGAGTAAGCCCTAAGTATAGGTTATGGGGTGCAGTACTGTCTCTAGGGGGTGTACTGAAATTTTGTGGGGGCAGTTTTTGTCTTTGTAGTTCTCTTATCTGGTGCCCAAAGCATTTACATTACGAAAAACCTATTATTGAGTTATTTTTTAAAATTGATATCAGTACAGCATTTTACTAAAAACTACTCTGGCTTTTTTGTCTTTATATGATTAGAACATTATACTGATTTCTTAAAATTATTTGTATAAGTAGTTTATATTATGAATTTAATTCCAGGAGAGTGAAGTGGTGTTAAAATTCTTTTTAAGTACAGGGCTTAGCAGGGCAGGATTGAGCTCTTCTGACTAAAAGATCATTAAGCTCCAGCATACGAAGTTTTTAGGATTCTAAGATGCAACCTACAAGAAGCTGGTGTACATTGATTTCAACAATCAGGCTTTCACTTTAAGTAACTGCATATTTGAGGATTAATGTGGCTCAGTGGAGCGCTGCTGTCAAAGCACAAAGGGTCCACGACTGGGATGGGGGTGGGGAAGAACACCGAGGCGCCAAAGAGCTCTCACGCGTCCGGGCCGTGAATGTGCGCGTGAATGTGCGCCGAGTTGCCTGGAGGGTGAGTCGTTTCTTTTTGCTTTGGTTGTATTCTTCATTTTAACAATGATGGGGTGGGGGGAAGGCTGAAGGGAAGGGGAGGGGCGGTGACGCTGTCCGGTTTTCCCGAAAGCCTGGGTCCTCAGCTGGTCCGCTGCGGGGCTGGTTCACACTGAGGCAGTGGGATTTGAAGACCAGGGCTTGGTCAGAACCCTCCAGAAGAGCTCGTGAGGGGGTAGCAGTGCTTTTGAGGTGCAGAGGGAGCAGAGAAAGACTTCGTCTCGCAGGACGATTTAAAGTGAGGTTGGACTGAACTTTTGGCGTCAGCGGTTGCAGCTGCGGCTCATGGTGGAGTGGGGGCGAGAAGAGGTGGAGCTGCCGCTGACCCGGGGCGCGGGACTGTTGATAGCGGGTGGGGCGTGCGGCTGGAATCTAGACGGGCCCCAGAAAGGCGGGGCTTCTAGTGACAGTAGGCGGGGCTTCTGCAGAAGGGCGTGGCTTGGTATTCCGGCCACCAGGACACGGTGTTTGCAGTGACAGCGGCATTTCAGCGGAAGACAGCGTGCCCACCTCTCACGGCCTGACCATCGCCGTAGGGGGGCAGAGCGCCCCGAAGGCAGGGCTGCCTTCTGGCCCGTGAGGGCACAGGCTTCTGACGACAGCGGGCGGAGCTAGCGCCGGCAAGGGGCGGGGCCGCTGTGAAAGCGGGGAAGGCGGGGCTTATATTGACAGGGGGGCGGGGCAGCTCCTTACCTCCAGCGGCTCTTCTATGCTGGAGAGTGGCCGGGGTCGGATCCCAGGGGAGCCGCAGGGTCCAGGCGTGGGCAGCCTGGCTCAGCGCGCGGTTGGGGCGCACAGAGGGCCCCGCCTCGGCCAGCTCACTCCCCTCCCCTCCGCCCCGGCTAGCCGCTGGGGCGCGCGTCTCTCCTGGCACCCCTACCCCGGGTCCCCGCTCTCTGCTTGGCCGCCGAGCTCCGAGGCCCCTGTGCGGGACCGCGGAGTGGTTCCGGGTTTAGGGTTCACAGGTCAGAGTTGACTCCCTGAAAAGTGCAGCCGGTTTGAAATGCAAGATGGCGGCGGCGGGGCTCTGAGAGGCGCGGCGGCCCCTGCAGGTAGCTGCGCGAGCCGGCTCCGCGACGCGGGCCCTGACGCCCCGGTCTGCGAGTGGGAAGGGAGCGCCGAGCCCGCGGCCCGCCCGCAAAGAGGAGCGGCGCGGGGGCCGGCCGGAGGAGGGCAGCCCCAGGGCAGAGACTCGGGGCTGAGCCCGCCCGAGGCTGCTGGTGGCGGGGCGTCTGAGGGGGAGGGACCTGGCCTGCCCTGCGGCTGGGGAGCTGCGGCGGAGGGACAGACCCACAGCTCCTTCGCGCTCGGGATTCCTGCAGCGCGGAAGGAGCTTGGGGGCGGGGGCGCTGGGAAGGAAAAAATCTCAGCCCCTTCCTTGGGAGAGGTCTGAACAACTTGGGGTTGTTGAGGAGAGTGGGGTTTGGGTCCGCCTGCTCGAGGACGCTGGCAGTTTTGCGGGTCCTGGGGTGGGGGTTTCAGAAGTGCTGCCCTCGGGGACGTGTGGCCACCTCGTGGGGACCTAGCTTCCCTGAAAGTAAAGAGATTCTCCTGCTGGAACTGAGCGCACTGGCTTTGGGGTGGGATCCCCAGGAGACCCTTGGAAGGAAGGTTGGGCACCCATTTCGGGGCCAGGCCGCGCCCCCACTTCGGAAAGGACTCGGAGCTGAGTCCTTAACAACTATATTACCATTTTGAGGAAACCCTGAGATTTAGGAGATAAGTTAATTAAAGAGCATGGAAATGCCATCTGTCCGTATCAGCCAGCGTATGAGGGGATGGGGGGCAGACCCAGAGGAGTCTCTCAATCTTTGAGGCCTGGTGATTGCTTGAGGGGGATCTGAAGACTGGGAAGGGGAAATGAGAGGAACTGCGTCTAGTAGCCGGAAAGTAGAGTCTGGCAGATGCCCTTTCCCCATGTATTTACACCAAAGTTCCAAGGGGACTTGAAAGTCTTTGTTTCAGTATGTTTCCCCCTCTTCTTCCCTCCGTGAATAGCGGTAAGGAAAGAGCAAAAAGCCTGTAGAAAGAAAAGATTCCGTTTGATATGTTTAGTTTAGTTTAGCGAGCGATCAAGCCTCTGGGAAGGCATCAGCGAGACCCAGGGCAGGGGAATTAGGAAGCGAGAACCGGGACGGAGGATAGGAATGCAGGGAAGAGGTTGGGTAGAGCAGAAATTCCACAGCACGTTTCTGTCATCAGCCCAGCTTTCTAAAAAGACAGACAGACAGATGAGAAGAGCTTCACGTTCAGAGAAAAATGTTTAAAAGGCTGATAGGGAACTTGTGATTAAGTTGAGGTTTAATGTAACTTGATAAATTCTCTTGGAGGGTAATATTATAGAAAAAAAAGGAAAATCACAACATGAAATGTACAGTAGTTCACAGTTAGGATGAAGCAGCCCACCCCCGGGAATAGTGACTCTTTTGGACTGGAGTTTGTTTGTGTGTGTGTGTGTGTGTGCGTGTGTGTAAGTGTACCTTTACATTTGTTGATGTTGGTCATTATTTCTGTCTTTGTCTAAAGCTTTTAGTTTTGTTATATGGTGCTACATGAATTACCTTTGTTTCTGAAAAAAAATGCCCTCAAAAAGTCATTTGTTTTGGGGGCTGGGGCTTTAGCTCAGTGGCAGAGCACTCAGTGGCAGAGCACTTGCCTAGGACGGGTGAGGCATTGGATTCGATACCCAGCACCACATAAAAAAATGAATAAATAAAATAAAGTCATAAAAACATATATATTTAAAAAGTCATTTGTTTTTAAGCTTGTAGTGAAAATTAAAAAGTTGGTTTTAACGGGGATATTGGCACTAGTATATTCATAGATTATTTTAATTTCTAAAGTAGCAATTGTGACTCCTGATCTTAAGCAAAAGAATTGAGAATGCTGCCAACGACAATACAGCAGTAACAGGTCAGAAAAAGAAAGGCTTTCATGATATTTTTTTCCTTTTAGTTTTTCTCTCCTTCCTCTAAGTATTTTAGGGTTATGCAGACTAATTTTAGGCAAATAAAATGTCTAACCTTGAATCCTTTCAATATAAAAATTGCATTGATGATTTTTTTAATAGAAGTATGTCTTCACATGATTTATTTAACAGTTGTAATTAAAATGAGAAAAAAATTAAAGTAAGACTTGGGTAACTGATGATAGAGTTATGATTCATACAGATTTCTTGAGCCATTCTTGCATTTTCAAAAGAGCTTTAATGTCTTTAATGGAAATGTTTTAAAGATACAGTATAAACTAGTTCTGAGCTTCTCATTTGGAACATTAGTATACATGTGTGCTGTTCTTTGGTTTCACCAAAGTGCATGTAACTCTAGTTTTATATTCAATTCTGAACAGATTAGGCTGGGTGAACCAGAGAGGCATTGATGCCAGATGGTTTGAAAATATGCTAAGGCTGAAAACATAAATGTGCCTGTGTGGTAGATGCTCGTTAGTAGATTTATTCCCCTTATAGCTGAGCTTATTATTTCACTAAATTTGGAGGGTAGGTCATGAATGAGGTAGCAGTGATTTTACCTTTAATGGTCCTTGTAAGTTCTTTTTTTTTCAATAAATGTGAATAACATTTTACAGTTATTAATGAAATTAATAGCATATGTGTAGTGGTAAATCTTGCATAGTTTCTCCTTTTTATATTTCACAGTAAATTGAAAAGGTGATGGTATGATATATTATATATTTTCTTTCTTACATTGAGCATAAAATGTGATATTTGGACTTAGCTTGCCATAAATTCTGGCTTAATACTTAAAGTGCTTTTAAAATAATGAAATTGATCACAAATGTAGTTGAAAAAGTAACCTTTTTATTTATGTTGCAGCATTATGTATTTGGGCTCAAAAGACCATTATTTTAATTTTAACAGTGTTGAAAGTTAAATACCTAAGCAAGTTTTTAATCTAGTATAGTCAATGCAATCATTCAGAGAGCTATCTAGAATTAACTATTGTACTGCTCATAGTAATAGCCCATATTGCCTATTTTTAAGACATCTGTTTATTCATTTATATTATGGCAAGGATATTTAATTTGAAGTCTAAATTTTGTAACAAAATTCTTTTATACTATATATGTCAAAAGTAATTTAAATTTATTTTAGAAAACTGATTATTACCCTTTGAATAATAGCCAGTGTTTCTATAATATCACTGAAATATATTATTGGATCTTTGTTGCTCTGATATATCTATAGTTGTAAGTAACCATATTTGCATAATGAAGTTGGTGATTTAGATTACTAGTCAGGATATTAATTTGAGTTGACATTTTGGAGATAGGCATTTTAAACAATTTATTTTAAAAGTAAATTTCTTTTTACCAGCTTTTGGTCTTAAAAGATACTTAATCTTGGCATTTTATATAAGCAGTATTTTTGAATTTTTTATTTTTGATGCTGGGGATTGAACCCAGGTCTTTATGCCTGTGAGGTAAGCACTCTACCAACTGAGCTATATACCCCAGCCCTCCATAATGAATTTAAGAAGCACAAAGATATGCACACACACATAAAGCTATATAATCCATGCATATATATCTTTGGCCTACACAAATACAATGATAAACTTTGGAAAAGCATACATAAGCAATTTCAGAATGAAATTTATTTAAGGGAGTCAACTGAATAAATCTTTTTTGGGGGTGTCAGTATTGATGATCGAACCTAGGGATACTCTACCACTGAAATTACATCCTCAGTTCTTTTTATTTTTTTGAGACAAGGGCTCACTAAGTTGTTGAGGCTGATCTCGAACTTGTGATCCTCCTGCTTTAACCTCTCAAATTGCTGGGATTATAGGCATGTGCTACCATAAGTCATTTTTAATGCAGGATTTTTATGAAGTTTTTAGATTTAAAAAATTTTTATCTTCCAAAATTAAAATATTGTCATAGCCATATCATATGCATTTATCATTTTGAGTAAAATATCTGTCATTACATTTTGGTGATTTCAATTTTCTCCTTCCTAAAGATTTTTCCCATTTCTGTTTGTTGTGAGAAATGAAAAGAGATGGGAAGTTTGATGTTTCTGAACACTTCATTTAGAATTATGTTTTTCTTCTATTCCGGTGTCTTCCCTTTTACAGCCCAATATTGTCAAATAGAAGTTTGTTAGAACTTCACTGGGCATGGGCTTGGGAGTATGAAGGTTGATGAGAAAAGAACAATTTCTCTTCATTACTATAAGATTATTTATATCAGAGATTTGTTTTAAGAAATACCTGTTAAAATGGTTCAAAATTATTCATTTTGAAACAGGTCAAAGAAAGGTGTGTGTGTGTGTGTGTGTGTGTGTGTGTGTGTATGAAAGAGAGTGGGGAGAGAGAAGATATTAAATTATCGTTGATTAATGTCTACCTGTTAAAGCTAACTTGTTCCAGAATTATTTAATATGTTCAAAGGTATGAAATGGAAAATAAAATTTATTGGTTGATATTTACTCAGATTTTAAAATATTTTACAGTTTGTCAACACTTGGCAAATTTTAAACAAAGAATTCCTTTGTTATGTAACTTGAAGTTAAAACCTTAAATAAAATCAGAAAAAATCTAACATTTGTTTTTGTTCTTACTAAGTGCCAGGAAATATTCTAAAAACTTTACATGTGTTATTTCTTTCAATCCTCACAAAGCTTTATTAACTAAATAAAGCTATTTGTGCTGGGGTTGTGGCTCAGCGGTAGAGCGCTTGCCTAACATGTGCGAGGCCCTGGGTTCAATCCTCAGCACCACATAAAATAAATAAATAAACTATTATTTGCCCCATTTTATAAATGAGAGGCCTGGGCACAGATAGGCTAAGTCACTTTTCTAGAGCTGCACAGCTAGTGACAGTGCTGATATTTGAACCCGGTCTGTTCCAGAGCCCAGGCACTTGTTTTTTTTTTTTTTTTTTTTTTTAAATCTATCTACTGCCAGAACAGCTTTTTGTGTTTGCTGAGGCATGGTAGCACATGCCTATAATCTCAGCAATTTGAGAGGTTGAAGCAGGAGGATCACAAGTTTGAGGTCAGCCTAAGCAACTATAAGATATATATAAATATAAGATATATGGTTGAGATGATTCCTTAATTTTTGAAATCTACTCATGCTATATTTAAAAAATATTTTGAAGTAGAAATATTCTAAAGTAATAGGATTTAATTCAGAAGTATCAAAGAGCTCATTCATTCTCTGGTTGCCTTGCACCTTTGTATGTCTTGGTAGCTCTTCTTAAGAGACTTTGGGTCCATAAAACATCTTGCTTTTTCTGTGTGATTTAAGAATGGATTGAAATAGGTTACTAATATCCTACAGTATTAATAATTCATTTCGGAAAATAACCTCTCCTCTTTGGCAGCTGTTTCCTATCTTCTTTTCTAGTCCACATCCTGTATAGATGGATAGCTAAGGAGTGGCTGAATAAGGAGATAGCAGGAAATGAAATTGTAGAATCCCAGGCTAGAGAGATAACAAGATGCTCCACTGGGCCCAGCAGGAAAATGCTCTTGCTTTTCTTGAAAATAATGTACTTATTTAGCTTAAACATTAATTCAAAAGTATTTTACTAGACAAAGTTTTTGTATATTGTTATTTCTTTACTTAATAGGATTCTTCATAAACTTGTATAATGTTAGCAGGAATCAAAAGATAGGCTATTTGGGCTGGGGTTGTGGCTCGGTGGTAGAGCGCTTGCCTAACACGTGCGAAGTCCTGGGTTCAATCCTCAGCACCACATAAAATAAATAAATAAAGGTATTGTGTCCAACTATGAATAAAATATAAATATTAAAAAATAAGCTATTTTAGGAAAATCATTTTCCTTACTATCCATTTATTGTGATATAAGGAGTATCTGTGCTTCAAAAACAATAAAAATTCTTTCACCTTCAAAAGCACTATTTATTGTTATTCTCATAGGAGAGGCAATTATAGTTTTTATTAAAATTTCCTGATTGGTTTAACTACTCTGGGTACTATACAAAACCTTTTTTTGTATATTAATCTGAATTTTCAGAGAAAGATTTTCAGTTTTTTTGATTATTCAGTACCAGTGCTTACAACACAGTAATTATAATACCATTTGATGGTAGCTTTCTAATAAAAACTAAATGGTTAAACACTAGCCATTTTGTCAGACTTACGGTTAGGGTAGAATAGCATTAATATATTCAAGTCTTTGTTGGTTTGTGTGGCCAGCATTAATATTTCTTTCATTCCAGTTAATACATATTTAGGATGCAGATATCCTAACTTAGGTATATGTGCAAACACAAACATATATATACCTACTCCCAATTCTTTCTTTGGCTAAGTTGTTTTTCATAACCTTTATGTACTAATTTTAAAGAATTCCCAATTTTGACATCCTTATTTTTACATTAAAGACTGCATCTATTCACATTTTGAAATGTTATTGAACTAGTCTGCTACTTGGCTGTTCTATATAAGTAAAACTGTTAATGTGTAGTTATGAATTTTGTGTTTTCTATCAATATTTGAGTTGGCATTTAGATGATTTTAAAAATTTTCAGTTTTTTTTTTTTTCAAGATTGCATTTATTTTTAGTTACACACAGTGGTGCACACCTCAGGAGACTGAGGCCAGAGGATTGCAAGTTTGAGGGCGGCATCTACAACTTAGTGAGACCTTGTCTCAAAATAAAAAACAAAAAGGACTGGGAATGTAGTTCAGTGGTAAAGCACCTCTGTATTCAATCCCCAGTACCACATACAAAAAAAAAAAAAAAATTGCATTTATTTTTAAAAAGTCATAGCATGAACTGTAAAATTTCCTAAGACTAGGATCATGTTTTGAATAATAAAAGGATATTTTTTTTTATAGGAGAAGACTGATAACTACTTTGGACCTGTTGGTAATGATGGCCTGAGCTACACACCTAATTTGAAGGGTTACCCTTCCGTTTCAAAGAACAGGATGCTGAGGAAGCTATGGCAAGTATGTGTTTAACTGTTCGGGGGTGGGGGGGGGGATGTAAAGCTAAGATGCCAATGTACTCACTTTATATTCCATGATACTTTATTTGACTAATGTTGTAAAAGCTCTTCTTAAAAAACTTATGCTTAATACTTTTTAAAAATATGTGCTTTTAAACTTTAACTACTTTAAATTGACTACTTTAAATTTATCTACTTTTAATTGACTGCTTTAATTTCAAAGGAAACAGTATCACACTTCTTAATAAATCTTATGTGGTTATTTATAATTGATTTTTCAATTACTATTTGCCAAAATCAGCAGAGCATCAGACACCATTCCAGGTACTGTGATAACAGAAGTAAATAAGACAAATAAAATCACGGGGACAGTACCTTTAGTGTGGGGAATTTGATCTAGAATTTTACTAGTTTTTTCTTTCTATCCAAAAAAGGATTCAAGACTTACAAGAACATATTTTGGGGGTGGAGTGGGATACTGAGGCTCTAACCAAGGGGTGCTTTGCCACTGAGCTACATCCCTAACCCTTTTAATTTTTTATTTTGAGACAGTCTCACTAAGTTGCTGAGGGTCTCATTAAGTTGCTGAGGCTGGCCTCGAATTTGAGATCCTCCTAAGTCTCCCAAATCCCACTGTGCCCAGCTACAAGAACAATTTCAAAAAATATATTTTTAATGTATAGGCTATTAGAAATAGTTCATTATACAACCAATAATAAAAAAATCAAATGCAAAATAAAAAGAAATAGTTCATTATAGTTATGAAAATTATGATACAAATATTTTTATTAATCATACCAATATTTAAATGCTTGACTGTAAGTATAGTCAAATACATACTTTTATATTTTAAATAAATTTTTAAAAAATACATACTTGTATATTTTAAATAAATAATATATTTTTCACATACTATTTAGATTACATACTATGTGTTTGAAATATTTATATTTTAGTATAATTGTTATTTAAATGAGTCTAGAAAGTTTTAGGAAAGATTCAACAACCATTAATGTGATGATCGCTTATATTAAAAAAAATTATAAAGGTCATACAAGTTGATACTACCAATACTAATCATTACTTTCTTTCAAAGTGTTTTTAAAAATTGAATGAATATATCCTCAGAGAAGTATGTAATAGTTGCTTTGTTTTATAAATAGGGACTATAATGGACAAGAATGGTCTCATAGATACTCTCTCTTGGAACTAAGAATGGAATTCTTGTGTTAGACTGGCTGTGAAAGATGTACCACCTCCTTCAGAAAAGTAGGGAAATTTCTTTTCAGAAGAAAATTACTTTTGTAATAGTCACAAACTATTAACCAGCTAGAAAATTTTACAGTAGTGCTAGTTTACATATCGCTCAGTGTATTGTGTGCCTACCTACATTACAACAGGGCTAAGAAAATTAGGATGTTAATGTCCTAGAACCTCTCAAAATTTTTCTCTGCTCCTAAAACCTGGGATTAGAGATTGCCAGGAGAAATCTGCTTTTGTGTGTGTGTGTGTGTGTGTGTGTGTGTGTGTGTGTGTGTGGTACTGGGGATTGAACCTGGGGCCTTGTGCATGGAAGGCATGTACTCTACCAACTGAGCTACATCCCCAGCCCCACCAGGAGAAATCTGTAGATCTTAGTTTCTTCTTTTAATCTTTAGTATCATTTCTTAGGTGGACAAAAACAAATAGGGCTGGGTGCCTTGCTGAAGGCCTACAAACCCAGAGGCAGAGGATTCTGAGTTCAAAGCCAGCTTCATTAACAGCGAGGTGCTAAGCAACTCAGTGAGACCCTGTCTCTAAATAATATACAAAAAAGGGCTGGGGATGTCACTCAGTGGTTGAGTACCCCTGAGTTCAATCCCTGATCCCCCCCACCCCCCCCCCCCCGCAAAAAAAAAAAAACAGAGAAGATAGTTTCTTTACCCTTCAGCATTAATTAGCATTAATAAAAGGATCCTCTGAAATTAGATTATCTTTAACCACAGTTTCTTAGATGCTTTCACTTTTATTACATTCGTCCAGTCTATATTCACTATATTTAAAAAAATTTTTTTAAGTATTTTTATTTTTTCAAATTCACTTTAATACTTGATTTGCTATTGTCTTGTCCATTTTTAACAATTTTCTCAAGATTTATCTCAAGATTTAATATTTAAAAGAACTTAACTATGATTTTTAAATATGTCAGATTTTAAATGTGAATGTCTTAAGTATGGAAAGTCTACCTTATCTTTCTCTCTCTCTCTCTCTCTAAACACAGTGGATACCCTTTATTTTAATTTGACCACATTATTCTTTGTTCCTACTTTATTTCAGGCATTCTATGATTTTGGTAGATTGTTAACTTTTAGTTTGAATACAAACATGTGATAATAAGTATTTTCAGCTGGCTAAACAGAACTCTGAGAGAGAATTGAAACTAAATTGAATACAAAGCCTAAGAATTCTCAGGGAATATATATGAATGCAGATTCCTAAGAATTCTCAATGTGTGTACTTTTGCTTTGTAAACTGTTTTGTTTAGTTAATCAAAATTAACACAAACCTTAAAAACTGTAGTGCCTTCTAAAATTTTCTTATTTGATCAAGAATTGGTGTAGAAAACAAAGTTTGTTTTCGTTCACTTAAAATCTTAACTAAAATAACATGCTTTTGTGACTAACTAGGCCAACATGACGTTATCCATTAATCATTTAATTTAAAGTACAAGACAGACAAGAAAGAAAGAAAGAAAAGCTAACAAATTCAGTGCAGTTATAGCTACTTAATTATACATTTTTTTAGTACTAAGTAGAATTTAAAACCATCTACTAGCTTTTTTTTTTTGGTACTGTATTATATTGATACCTTACTTTTTAATTTTAAAAAAAGTCATAGAACACCATAAAAATATAGTTTTCTCATGGGACAGAGAAGTAGCGATTCTAAATATGAATTTGTATTTACTATGTTTTTAAGTACTATATCCTTTTTTCCTGATTTTCCTGTAGGAATAATTCTTTGAATGTTTTTATCTACCTTGTTTCACTCTTAGTCCACAAATTTAGATATATACTGTTCATACATAAAACTGATTTATTACAAGCAAATTTTAGATGTTATCAAATGTTTATTGAATGTCACTGGAGTTTGTAGAATGTTCACTACTTTAGTGAATTGAATGCTTTAGATCACAGGGTATTTTAATATTGTAATGACTAAGGTAATTTTTTATCAGTAAGGATTTTACCATCACAAATAATCTGTAAAGCAAACATGGTTGTTTTTAATTCCTTTATAAATAAGTGTTTAATGAAATAAAATGCATAATATAATACACAGGATGTATATATATATATTTTTCAAGTTTTTTTTTTTTCAGCAGATATTATTGGAGCCCTAATATGCACTTTGTTGGGCCCTAGGGATATAATGGAAAGCCAAGCAGACATTCCTCTGACCATAAAATAACTTGTATAAGAATTGCCAGAATTTTAATAGTATCATGAATAAATTTTGCTTTCATTAAGTCCTTTTCTGTAGAGAAACTTTGTTGTAATTATTTTGATTATATCAGAATCATGAGTTGATGGAGGAGCATCCTCCTCTCAGGAGAGGAGCCAGGATGCAGATGGATCCCTAGAAATTGGCTTGGCCAGGTCTATACCTAGAGAATATGGGTGATTTTGAGGGTTCTTAGAACCAGCTTGATTCCTTGGAGTGTGGAGCAGCCCCTCCAAAAAAATTCCTGGAATATACCTGAAGGCTATACATACCGAGACATGCCTGCTCCTGGTGGAAAAACCTTTATAGAACACATGGTTTTTGCCTTAAAAATAGAAAGGAAACTTTGTTTCCAGCTTGAGGCAAATGACCATAGGAATATTTTAGTCTATTTGCAATTTTAAGGACTTGTAACTGTTTTTGTTGTATTTTATAATAAAGCAGTGTTATAACAATATTAAAGAAACTGTGTAAATGTCACACATAAAAATTCCATCTATAAACTCATGTAAAAATCTCACTTGTCTATAAAATTTTGCTCATCAAATCTTTGTCCATGTAAATACATATTTCCTCCCAGTTATTATAATTAATACAAAAAATTTGTTCTAATTTTAAAAAGTTTAGGTAAATATTTTTTCACCTTTTGGTTAGCATTTTAAATAATAACAAAATCAATAGTAGAACAATTGATTTAATTAAAAAAATTTTAATGTATTTCTTCAAGGAAAGGTTAACTAAAAATAGTTTTTATGAGTAATTGTATTTACAGTGCTGGATGAATTTATATGATATTTTTATTGTGTTTTAATTGCAAAGTCACCTAACCACTCAGTTGTGCAACTGACCTCTAACCCCTTTTTTACAGGTGAATAGTGCAAGGTCCCCCAAATTGATTTTGAGCCCTGTTTTGAGTTGCCTTCAACTAGAGGATGAGATGCCTGTCAGCTAATAGTGATTTCTATATGACAGTTTTCCTGTCCTGGCCCCATTGCACATTAATGAAAAAGAGAGATTAATTGGAACAACATCATAGCAATTCTTACTCTATATTTTTTCTTCTGCTTTTTCATTCAATTTGTATGTCTTATCAGCTGATTAATTTGCTTTTTAAAAAAAAATAAGGTGGTAGAGTGTATAATATTTAATAGATGGTATTTTTATTCTCTCAAAAGAATTTTTCAAAGACTGGAAGATAACATTAATTCTGATAACACATATTGTGTATCAGAATGGGTGAAGGAAGTATTCTTATTTGAACAGCCTCTGGGCATACCACTATTCCTGTTTTCCCCAGGGAAACCTTCTCTTCTCTTTCTAGAAGCTTCCTGCACTGTGCTACTTGTTTCTCTCATTGCTTTGGTCATAGTTATTCTAATTGTTGGCTGCCTATCTTCCTTGCTCCCTTGCTAATACCTGATAGAGCAGTCTGTCTTGATCATCAGTGCCTCCCTAGTCTCTAGGCAGTACCTGGCACATGGTCAACATTCAACAAGTCGTTGTTCAATGAATTTGATGAAGAATTTTGGTTTCATAGGTGAGGAATCTCAGGTAGAAACTGAGTGGCTTTACCAGATATCTTACCGAAGGGAACCTAGCCCCTGTAGTTTAGCTCCATTCTACAATGCCTCTAAGAATTAATTACTTTCGGCTGGGTTTCTTCTTCCACAGAACAGGTTAATTGTTCTAAGGTCCTTGTTTCCTCCAAAATTATGACTTTATAACAAGAACCCTGAACATTCCTTTTTCCCTCTTTGGTCTTTTTTAGACTATGTGTATTATGCAGAATTAAGCCATTGGGCCAAATCTTGCAGCTCTTTAGGGAATATTGTATTTCCTTTAGGAGCATGTTAACTAATACTCTGACTCTGGTTTTGTTAGCAAAGTCATGGAGAACCTGAAGGTAGGTCGTGGTGAGCAAAAGTTTTAGAAGAGGAAAGAATAGTATTTTGGGGGTGTATGTATTGGATATAGAAGTAAACAGAGGTTGAGGAAATCTGAAACACCCAGGTGTTCAGCTTTTCAATTACTGAAGTCTTTTTTTAAAAACATCTCTTAAGTAACTTTATTTAAAACTTGACTATATGGCCAAGACCAGTATTTTCAGAGGAAAAAGCACAATTTTTGATATCTATTACAAGATCATAATATAGAATATGAGTATTTTATGCTTTTCATGACTTTAGCAAAAAAAAATCTTTTAAGATTCACTTATATCTGCTTAAATTTTTATCAACTGAGCAATCTGAACTAGTGAACTAGGAGGAAGAGAAATAAAAGTAATAGTTTGGTAGCATATTACTGTTTATATGCCAGATAAAACATAAAATGCTTAACCTTGAGAGCTGGAAAGCCAAAAGAATAAAGAGATTGGGGCTGCTCCCTTTTTCCTCTGTGTCTTTTATTTCTGCTGGCTACTTTGCTCTATCCTGAAGCCCTGGCCTGCCTTGTCCAGTGAAGGCACATTCAGTTTACTGTGTATTAGTTGTAAAATTCCATTGAAAATTTTAGCAGTGCCAGGATGAGAAGGATTTTTGGAATTTATATAGTGTCTTAAAAGTATTTAAGTTTTTAAGACAGTCTTTCAAACACATCTTGGAACTCCTCGGAGATGTAAATGGGTTGTGGGATCCATAGGACTCAGGGAATAGTTCAGCCTCTACCCTCTCTGACCAGATACCTACTCTTCTATATTTTGGAGTTCTCTGGAGCTGGTGCTTCTCATAGTATTTTATTTTAAAGTCTCCCTTGCTTAAAACAAATTGTTAAATTATCACTTATAGGTTGTTTCAGAAAAAATTCATCTTCCTTTTTTTTTTGAGGATGGAGAAACACTGAGGATTGAATCCAGAGGCACTTTATCATTGAGTTACATCCCTAACCCTTTTTTATTATTTATTTTAAAATGAGATATCACTAAGTTGCTTAGGGCCACACTAAGTTGCTGAGCCTGGCCTCAAACTGCAATCCTCCTGCCTCAGCCTCTAGAGCTGTTGGGGTTACAAGTGTGTGTAACTGGCAAGTGCCCAGAAACCCTCTATCTGGCTGTTAGCTTCCCCCAAATAAATATAGTATGTCTCTAATTTCAGGAGAATGAAATAGCTAACTCTCCTGCCTTTCAACAGTTTTTCTTTGTCATCCACATTGTGAATGATGCTCATTTATTATTCTTCTATCCATTTAGAGCTATTTGGGGAATTCCCTTTCTTTCTTTCTTATTTATTTGTGTGTGTATGTGGGTGTGGGTGTGGGTGTGTGTGCGTAGGGGATTGAATACAGGACCTTACCTTTACCACAGAGCTTCATTCCTAGGAATTTCCTATTCAAATATTGATCTAACAGAAATGTTGATACTTAAGAAAAAAAAAGTGATGACCTCTATTTGATTAGAAGATGACATTAGCTTAGTTTATAACATTTAGTTATAAAATAGTTTTACATTTCCTTATAATCTTTTAGAAGTTAAAAGGAATTTTGTAGGAAAAAAAAAAGTAGGACAACTTTAAGAGTAGGGGTTTGGACTGTCAATACTATTAGTATTACTAAGCTGAGCACTTTTTGTTTTGTAATTTGGGAAATCAGGGAATAGGGACATTTAGTCCAGCTCTTCCATCTGCTGCTCGAATCCATCAAATGGATCTGTAGTCTGTACTTGAGTAATTGTAGTGCGGGGGATTTTACCACCTTCAAGTTAAGGCATTTTCTCTTTGCACAGCTGTCTCCTAAAAATGTATCTCCCTTTACTGAGTCTGTATATCTTCTCATAGGGGCCAGACTTTGCTTGATAATTCTTTTTTAGTTGTAGATGAACACAATATCTTTATTATTTTTTTATGTGGTGCTGAGGATCAAACCCAGTGCCTCACGCATGTGCTTAACCACTGAGCTGCAACCCCAGCCTGCTTTATAATCTTTTAAGCAAACTTTTTGTTTTGTTTTGTTTTGTTACTATTGGGGATTTAACCCAGTGGCACTGTACCACTGAGCTACATCCCCACCCCTTTTTAAATTTTTTATTCTGAGAAAGTGTTTCACTAAGTTGCTGAAACACTTGTGATCCCCCTGCCTCAGCCTTCCCAGTTGCTAGAATTACAGGCATGTGATATCATGTTCATCTAGCAAACTCTTTTCTCTTTACTTCATCTGTAATAAGGATGGTGCTAGTAAATGCAAAGATTCTAAATTACAGTGGCAAATATGGGAGACCTCTTATTCATTTTATTCATTGTCATTTGGTTTAGATTTCAGAGACATGTAAACCTTAATTTAGCATCTTATTTTTATTTGAAATATTTTGATTGCAAAATTTATTAAAATGAATCTGTATAATTCATATTTTATTGATATTCAAACTCAGTCTTGTGAATTTTAGCCTCTGTTCTCTATGGTGATGCCCTCAGGCTCCATTGAGTTTTGCGGGACTATTTTCCTATTCATATTAATTCAAATTAATAAACATTTAGCGATTACCTACTCGAGTACAGGCTTCTTGTGTGCACTAGAGATGCAAATATGAATGAGATATCAACCAAAATAGCTCATCTTGGAATGCGTTTGAGATATAAAGGTTCTTTGCTTAAAAGGGAAGTACAGGGGATGAAATAGACCAAATTATGATGTGTGCAGGTATGAATAAATCACACTGAAGGCTACTACTATGTATAATTATAATTCACCAATAAAAATATTTTTAAAAAGAACTGCTGTTACAAGCTCTCTTAGCAAAGAGCATGTTGGCTTCTTCTGAGCACTGAACACAGAATGAAAAAAGAAAAAAAAGCTCCTTTGCTTGTTTGTTCAATCTAGAGTTTTGGAGACTTTGTTTTATTGCAATAAAGCTGTTACTTAAAAAAGAATGGGATACATTATGTATAATATAAAGACCACAGATGTAGATGGGGAGTGGGAACAGAAATGTTGCCTCTGCTATATGGTAAGTTGTAGACTAGAAAAAAACACAAGAGAAAAAAGTAACCTATGGTACAGAGAGATCATCATAGCAGGTACACAGACAAGTGTCCTAACATCAGGAATGGCATGGACAAAGGTCTGAAAGTGTACTGAGTGTCCCTGGAATGGCAGTCATTTCTGGTGTGTGGAAAGCATAAGGAAATTGGAAGAAGGAGAAAGATGGCAGAGATAGGGAGAAAAGCAAGGTTGGGGCCACGGTGAAGGGTATTATGTACCTTATGGGGCTCAAACTTATTCTTCCAGCATTGGGGACCCATATTAGCAGATTTAGATGATTAGATATATTTAATAAATCCTGATAGCATTTTATAGAATGATTAAGAATAATTGTTTATGAAATTTTGATCATTCATCTTTCATCTTTACCATTTTTTGCCATGTGTGAACTTCCTTTTTGGGCTAATGAAACAGACCTGTAGGAGAAAGAGGACATAATTGATGGATGTAATGGTGATCATTTTTTAGTAACTGTGATTGCTTTTTATAGTTTTGGGTTTGTTTTTTGCCACACTGAGAATTGAACCCAGCAAATTTCATACGCTAAGCAACCCTCTACCACTGAGCTACACCCCCAGCCATACCTTGTTAAGAGATTGTCATTTTACACTGATAGTAGCATGTTTACAAAAGCAGGCCCACTCTTCATTCTCTTATAAGATTCAAATGGCTATAAGATTGAAATTAAAAAGTTTGGATCTGACGATAAGTATAGTACATAACTTTCAATGAGTTTTAGCTTGGAGGTATCTATTTTCATCTTTAGAGGACTTTTTTTTCCCCCTGATTCTTACCTTATTCTAGATCTTTATAATTGAGCTATGCAGCAATATAAGTGAAATATAACTAATTTGCTTAAAAGATCATAGTCACTCATTTTAAATTTATTTTAATGTAGGTGATTGGAGTTGTGCTTCAAAAATTTCAGCAGTTCAGCGGTATTTTGCCAACAATAAGCTCTTTACTTGATTGAACCATGAAAAAGCTGCTAATGAGACTTGTTGAGCACAAAAGTGGACTTGCAGAACCAAAAGCCATTGTTTTCAAATGAATAATCCTGAACAGTTTTAAGCTTCAATGCTTTTTAGTCACCACTGAAATTTTCCCTGTAACATCAGCATGGCAAGCAGGAGAAAATCAACAATACCTTGCATGGTCCTCGCCAGTGAACAGGATCCAGACCTTGAGTTAATATCAGATCTGGATGAAGGTCCTCCTGTACTTACGCCCATAGAAAACACCAGGGCAGAGAGTATCTCAAGTGATGAAGAAGTTCATGAATCTGTGGATTCTGACAATCAGCAAAATAAAAAAGTTGAAGGTGGCTATGAATGTAAATATTGTACTTTTCAAACTCCAGATCTAAATATGTTTACTTTCCATGTGGATTCAGAACATCCCAATGTAGTGCTAAATTCATCCTATGTTTGTGTTGAATGCAACTTTCTTACCAAAAGGTATGATGCACTTTCTGAACATAATCTGAAATATCACCCAGGAGAAGAGAATTTCAAGTTGACTATGGTGAAACGGAATAACCAGACAATCTTTGAGCAAACAATAAACGATCTGACTTTTGATGGTAGTTTTGTTAAAGAGGAGAATGCAGAACAAGCAGAATCCATAGAAGTTTCTTCTTCAGGTATCTCTATCAGTAAAACTCCTATCATGAAAATGATGAAAAATAAAGTAGAAAACAAACGGATCACAGTCCATCATAACTCAGCTGAGGATGTTCCTGAAGAGAAAGAGAATGAAATCAAGCCAGACCGTGAAGAAAATGTGGAAAATGCAAATTCTTCAGCTTCAGAATCTAATACAAGTACTTCTGTTGTAAACAGAATGCACCCCAATACTGCCAGCACAGTAGTGACCCCCGCGGCTGTTCTTCCTGGACTAGCACAGGTGATAACTGCAGTGTCTGCTCAACAGAACTCTAACTTGATTCCTAAAGTCTTAATCCCTGTTAGTAGCATTCCCACCTACAATGCTGCGTTGGATAACAATCCCCTTTTACTTAACACCTACAACAAATTCCCTTATCCAACAATGTCAGAAATTACAGTTCTTTCTGCTCAAGCAAAATATACAGAGGAACAGATCAAGATATGGTTTTCAGCCCAACGTCTTAAACATGGTGTTAGCTGGACTCCTGAGGAAGTAGAAGAGGCAAGAAGGAAACAATTCAATGGGACAGTACATACTGTACCTCAGACCATAACTGTCATTCCTACACACATTTCCACGGGGAGTAATGGTTTACCATCTATTTTACAGACATGCCAAATAGTTGGTCAGCCGGGTCTGGTTCTCACTCAAGTAGCCGGAACAAACACTTTGCCAGTAACAGCACCTATAGCCTTGACCGTGGCAGGGGTTCCAAACCAAACAAATGTACAGAAAAGTCAGGGGCCTGCTGCTCCGCCTGTTGCAGAAACAAAGCCAGCAACAGCAGCAGTTCCCCCTTCTCAAAATGTCAAACATGAAACTGCACTGGTAAACCCTGATTCATTTGGCATTCGAGCAAAAAAGACTAAGGAGCAATTGGCAGAATTAAAAGTTAGCTACCTTAAAAATCAGTTTCCCCATGACTCTGAAATTATCAGACTTATGAAAATAACAGGCCTGACAAAAGGTGAGATTAAAAAATGGTTTAGTGACACAAGGTACAACCAGAGAAATTCAAAGAGTAATCAGTGCTTACATCTCAACAATGATTCCGCTACCACTATCATTATAGACTCCAGTGACGAAACCACTGAATCCCCAACTGTGATTACTTCACAGCATAAGCCATCCTGGAACCCTTTTCCTGACTTCACTCCCCAGAAGTTTAAAGAGAAAACTGCTGAGCAACTTCGTGTCCTTCAGGCAAGTTTTCTCAATAGCTCCGTACTTACGGAGGAAGAATTGAATAGGTTAAGAGCGCAAACCAAACTTACTAGAAGGGAAATTGATGCATGGTTTACAGAGAAGAAGAAATCAAAAGCTTTAAAGGAAGAGAAAATAGAAGTAGATGAAAGTAATGCAGGTAGTTCCAAAGAAGAAGCTGGAGAAACTTCTCCTGGAGATGAATCTGCCCCACCTAAATCCGGGAATACAGGCAAGATTTGTAAAAAGACACCTGAGCAGCTGCACATGCTTAAAAGTGCGTTTGTCAGAACACAGTGGCCATCACCAGAAGAGTATGATAAGTTGGCTGAAGAAAGTGGGCTTGCTAGGACAGACATAGTTAGTTGGTTTGGGGACACCCGTTATGCTTGGAAGAATGGAAACTTGAAATGGTACTACTACTATCAAAGCGCCAATTCGAGCAGTATGAATGGTCTGTCATCCCTTAGGAAAAGAGGAAGAGGGAGACCCAAAGGACGGGGCCGAGGAAGACCTCGTGGACGGCCTAGAGGAGGCAAACGAATCAACAACTGGGACAGGCCACCATCACTCATAAAATTTAAAACTGGAACTGCAATACTGAAGGATTATTACCTGAAGCACAAGTTTCTTAATGAGCAAGACCTTGATGAACTTGTCAACAGATCACATATGGGTTATGAGCAGGTCAGAGAGTGGTTTGCAGAAAGACAGAGAAGATCTGAGTTAGGAATAGAATTATTTGAAGAAAATGAAGAGGAAGAGGAAGTCATTGATGATCAGGAAGAAGATGAAGAAGAAACAGATGATAGTGATACTTGGGAACCCCCACGACATGTGAAGCGGAAGCTTTCTAAATCAGATGACTGAAATGTAAGTTTTTAACCTGGTAGTTTTTCCATCAGCCACTTGCATTTCTAACAACCATCTTGTTTCAGTCATCTTCACTTTTGATAATTTTTTTTCCAAAACACTTCTTGTTCCTCAATAAGACTAGGTACCACTAATAGAGTCAAAATGTAGATGATTAACATATGTTGTTAGATTACTATGATTATTATGTAGAATTTAATGTTGCTTTATTTTTGTATGAAATATTTTTTTAATATTTATTTTTTAGTTGTAGATGGACAGCATGGCTTTATTTTATGTGGTGCTGAGGATCGAACCCAGTGCCTCAAGTATGTGAGGCGAGTGCACTATCACTTAAGCCACATCCCTAGCCCCTGTATGAAATATTTTTAAGTTTCTTTCTGAGGAAAGATACCTTTTCTGTCAGACCAGGGAAAGAGGAGATTCACACACACACACACACACACACACACACACACACACAGTAAAGATAAGGAAAGTGCTTCTCCTGCAACCCTCCTTCACTAAAACCTCATTTTTTTTTTCTTTTTGCCTATTCAAAGAAATAATTAAAAAACTAAAACTACAAAGAAGGGGGAAAAGTATACCAAAGGGAAGACTTACCACAAGAGTGAGGATTACTCAGTTTTAGGATACTAAATAAAAACTGATTTTTTTTTCTTGTCATCATATTGCTTTCTAAATTTAGTAGATTTTTAGCTAGAGTTTAAAGTGCTTTCTGTATTTAAATAATTCAGTACCTTTTTTGTCTGCGTGTACTAGGGATTGAACCCAGGGGCACTTTACCACTGAGCTATATCTCCAGCCTTTTTTAAAAAAAATTTTATTTTGAGACAGAGTTTTACTAATTTGCTGAAGCTGCCCTCGAACCTCCTGAGTTGCTGGGATTACAGGCATGTGCCACCACCCCAGCTTTCAGTATCTTTTTCTATTAAAAGCCAAAGTTCTATTCTCAACCCTATATAAATTTCATGTTTGCCTAGGTGGCATCTGTTTTTGAAAACCGTGATGTAAATTATTTCTGTTTTTGAGATTAAAAGGCAAATAACATATTTGATATTAAATTAGCTCAGTCACTTAAAATATCTTTTTGATATAAAACAAATCTACCACTACAAGTACTGTGTTTGATTAAAATATATATCTTTATACTCTTAAGAGTACAAATAAATGTGGATTAAATTTGAAAGATTTTGACATGCTCTTTAAATCTTTATTCTTTATCAATTAGATTAATTAAAATTTTGCTTTTATTACGAATCATTTACCTGATTCAGAGTTAGGACCTCAAGTTTTACTACTTCTGCAATTCAGCAACATGGATTTATTATTTTCTGTATTCAGTTTTGGAGTGTTCCAGTATAAAAGTATATTGTTTTCAGAAAATATTGTAGTTGTCATGAAATATCTGTCTGTAGTACAAATAGCATCTCCTATTAGAAATCATTGCAGTGTTCTCAAACAGTAAAGGAGGAAATGAGACATAGACCGTCATTATTATTTTATATATGAACATGCTTGCCTGTTTCCATAGCTTTTTACATCCCTAACCCAGGCTTTACTTTTATGCCCTCTTAACTTTCTCTCTCTTTCTCATAATTTCCTTAATTTTCCCTCTCATTTATTTATTTTAGCAATTATTTTTGAGACCTCAGTATATGCAAGATACTGTCCTTATTTCTTAGCAATTTTTTATCAGGTTTTATTTTCATTAACATTTTTTAAGGCAGAAAAGAAGATGAACTGAAAATGTTGATGCTTTTACAAAGCTGTACAAATCTCGTTCCAGGTTAGAGAGCACATTTTAAGTCACTAGAAGCTCAAGAATTTTGTACAGCTTTTCCCTGAAGTGTAGCCCTCCACTTCCTCCTGTTGGAAAGCTTCAGGACAGGCTTTGTTCTGACCTAGATGCATAAAATATTTTTAACAGTCACTTTTTTTATTGCTAAACACAAGAATGCACACTCAGCCAAGATTAAATCAACAAATTTGTTGCTGCTGTGAATTGTTGTTGCAGCCTCTGCAGCGACTTTCTGGGGAGTTATAATCTTCTAAAAATAATGTGAACTTTTCTGTATGATTTACTTTAACCATACTTTAAATTTGTGTGGAAAATTCTTATATATTCACACTGGTATTATGGTCAGAAAATTCACATAAAGCTAGTTTTAAAAAATTTGTATTGCAACTTTGATATGTGCACTTTTATGGTATGTATAGAAGAATGCCTTTCTTTTCCAATGCACAAAAGTCTACAATTATAAAACCTTAATTTGGGTTATTATTTTAATAAAATAATTGTTCATTTATAAGAGAAGTCACTCTAGGTTTCCTTTAAAAAGTTGTGTGTTGCATGCCTGTGACCCTGGCTACTCGGGAGACTGAGGCTGGAAGACAGCTAGATTTGAGGGCAGCCTGGGCATCTTAACAAAAACCCTGTCTTAAAATAAGATAAAAATGGCTGAAGGGCTGGGATTGTAGCTCAGTATTTCAGTGGTAGAGCATTTGCCTAGCTTGTGTGACACACTGGGTTTGATCCTCAGCACCACATAAAAATAAATAAATAAAATAAAGGTATTGTGTCCATATACAACTAAAAAAAATATTTTTAAAAAGGGCAAGAGCTATAACTCAGATATACTAAAATGTTCCTTGATTCATTCTGCAGTATCTCTCTCTCTCTCTCTCTCTCAGTTTTATTGAATTTAAATATGGTTCAATTTACAAAAAAAAAAAGTCACTCAAACTTTTTCGAACAGTTTTTGCAAAAAGTGAAGTACATATATAATATTTGTACCTGCCAGCTTTGTATATAAACAGAAAAATATAGGTCTTTAGATTTCACAGCTTGTTTATTATAGATACTGATAATGATATATAGACTTCCTATTCATAATTTTTATAGATGACTAGAGAGAGGTGATAAATGTCTATAAGCAAATCTGGCATATGAAGAATATAGATTATGAGGTACCAACAAGGTATAGTGCATTATATGATATGTGTGTGGTGAGCTCAGTGTTAGGGCACAGAGGATGTATTTTCATGGTTAATAGTCATTTTGATCTAAAAGTCGTAAAATTAAAGTTTGGTTTTCCTTAAAGTTTCAGTTTTTTATGTTTTTCTTTTATAGCTGCTTAAAATGTTGAAGGAGAATCAGTTCTTCAACTCAAGATGTCTGGTTTACTGTGAAGGGGCCCAATCTTTGATGACACTGAAAATGTTTTGGGGCTCTCAAAAAACAGGATCCAATATCCAAAAGAAATGGAACTTAATATTGTGCCAAAGTTAAACTACTGCAGTTGGTGGAAGTTCTGCAATGTAAATAGAACACTAATTAAAAAACGACTTGTAAAAATTCAGATTTTAATACAGTACATTTTTATTCTGATATGATAGAGACATCTGAATCTTGGACTTTCTGAGGGAGTTTAATGACCACTAGAGCTTGTCCTCATATTTAGTCCAGCTTACTACTACTGTGTGTCTGGTAAGAAGGGCTGGATTGCTTGTATTCTTTGATATGTGATTAAGCTTATAGCTTTGAGTGACCAAACATTTTACAGAGTAAAAATTGTTAGGAATGGGAAAACAGAAAAACCAAACCTGATTTATTTTGTGTCTTATTTATCAGGCCCTGCGCCAAGATTAAAAGTTGTATGTGAGCTTATACAACTTCAAGTATTAAAATAACCTCTATACACATGTTGAAACAATAAGTTTTGTGGTATCACTGGCCCTTAATGATCGGATATTTAATTAAACACACTCAAGGATGCCATAATCTCTACTTGTAATATTTCTGTTACTTTTCTCATTAGAAGCCAATTTGCTTTTTATTAAATAGAAGATAATACCGAAGAAGGAAAAGAAACTGGTAAGAAGTTGAATAGGGTGAAACTCTAAAATAAGTGTTGTACCAAAAAAATGTGAAAAAAGAATCATGTAAAATATATGTAGTGTTTTCTTACAATCATGTGGGAATCAGAAATGTTCATACAGATGTCAGATCAGAATTTTCATTATCTTTCAGTGAAATTCTACATTGTGTAACAATTTCGTTGACTAGAGAAAAAATTCTGAACTGATCCTAATGAGTTAAGAGTTAGCTTTTCACTTATGAATCATGGGAGTGTTAACTGTTAACTCTTATCATACCAGGAGACTGAAAGTTCATACTGATTTATAAACTTTGTAAAGACCGGTGCTGTTCATTTATGTTGAGGACCCTTTATTTTGTGATCATAGGACCATTTTTCAAAATGTGGTTTCTTCATAGAAGAAATGTTCAGTTTAATTAGCTTTGGATTTTAAAATGTTTTTCTGAATGATCACATGTAGTGGGCTTGGCCAGTTTATTTTATCTAATTTAATGAATAATAAATATTAAGCTCTTGGTTAAATGTGTCAGCTAATGGAAATGTTATGAAAAAGCCTTGAATATGCATGCTGCTTTCATTTTTATAAACTGTTTATTTTTTAACTATAGCTTTATTAGTAATTCCAAAATGCTGCAATTTAGCTGATTTCTTCGCTCAGACAGCTGGCTTTGTGGGTGGCTTTTTTCATACTACTGTTAACATTTTTTAAAAAGAAGCAATGTAAAGACTGTAATAATTGAATGCACTAAACTGTTTTTTTCTTTTACACGTTTAAAACTTCTTAAAGCACTCTGTATTATAATGATTAAATTGCTCCCTTTTTTAAACCATTGCTAATGTGGTCTGAGTTTTGTTCGATAGTATTTTTAATGTTTTCAAAATTTGAAATGTCAAGTATTGGAAACGAAGCCTTTGAATATATTTATATTATGTTTCCCTTGCAATATGTTAACTCTGTATATAGTTGTAAATAACTATTAATAAAAATTTCCCATCTCTTTTATAGGCTTGATAAAATTCTGCTCTGATGTTTGCTAGCTTTTAAATATATTTATTTGACAGAGCAAAAGAACTCTTCTCTCCTGGTTGATTGTGTCCTTGAATACAAATAAAAGTTAGCAGTGATTAGTAGTTTTCAGTGACTTTTTTTTCCATTTTAACAACATCAGTTTTTTAAAAAATTATGGATAAAATTTGCCATTATGCCCACATTTAAGTGTACAATTCAGTTTCATTGAATTATCTTCACAGTGTTGCACAACGATTACCACTATTTCCAATATTTTTTCATGAACCTAAACAGAAACTTGTAACCATTAAGCAATAACTCCTAATTCCCCCTGGCTCCTATAACCTCTGAGAAGTAGTCTTAGTAGACTATAGAAAGTAATGTGTCTCCATGGATTTGCCTATTTTTTATATTTCAGATAAATGTAATTGTCCAATATTTGTCCTTTTGTGTCTGGCTTATTTCCCTTAGCATAATGACATAATGTTTTCAAGGTTATCCATAGTTGTAGCATATACCAGAACTTTGTTCTTTTCTTTGGCTGAATTATATTTCTCTCTCTCTCTCTCTCTCTCTCTCACACACACACACACACACACACACACACACACACATATTTTGCACACATATTTTGGCTGTCCATACTCTGTTGATGGACACTGAGGTTGTTTCCACCCTTTGGCTATTGTAAATAATGCTTCAGTGAACTTTGGCACACAAGTATCTGAATTCCTGTTTTCATTTCTTTTGGATATATATCTAGGAGTGGAACTCTTTAGCCCTATGGTAATTTTGCTTAACTTTTGGAGGAACTACTAAACTCTTTCCCACAGTGCCAAAATGTTTTCCATAGCATCTCTGTATTTTACATTTTACCATCAGTGTTCAGAGATTCCAGTTTCTCTGCATCCTTGCCCACACCTTTTATTTTCAGTTTAAATAAATGATTACATTGTATAGTAAACATAGGGGGATGGAGAGGAGGGGACAAAAACTTATAGTAACCTCAGTAAGTGTGAAGTGGTATCTCACTGTGGTTTTGATTTGCATTGCTCTAAGTATACTGTCATGCAGTTACTGACCATTTGATTATCCTTCGTGGAGAAATGTCTCTGAGAGTCCTTTGCTCAGTTTTGGGTTGCCTCTTTGTTGTTGAGTTATAGGAGTGCTTTCTATATTCTAGATGTTACAGCCTTATTGGATACATGATTGGCAAATATAATCCATCTTCATTATTCATGGATTCAGCATATGCAAATTTTCCTACTCACTAAAATTTATTTGTAAGCTTAAAATCAGTACAAATGGTACCTTCTTGGTCATTCCTGCACATGTACAGAATGGAAAAAATTTTGAATTGCCAAATGCCCACAATCCTAGCTGAGGTCAACCAAAGAAATCTCTGCCTTTTTGTTTCTCAAATTGTAAAGAAACATCCTTTTAACTTTCTATTTGGTGTTATGTTTCCCATATTTTTGTGCTTTTTGCTGGTGATTTCACTGTTTAAAACAGTCCTTAAGTTTGTACTAAATTGCTGCCTAGTATTGCCTAGTATTTAGGCAAGAAGACTATTGTTTGTCCTATGGAGAAAATGCATGATTAGATAAGCTTCATTCAGGCAGGAGTTATAATGCTGTTCAATGTTAATTAATCAATAGTATATATGAAATAAACTGTCTATAAACATAAATGCATAAAGCAAGATTACATATTGATTGATGAAAATATTGTGACCAGAGGCTTCCAGGACCCTGACCCTAGGAGCATTTGGGCCTTTAAAGGGCAGAATTACTATGAATAATGACAATTGGTTGCATTTTATCTATTGTATAGGTTGTATTTTCACTTTCTTGATAATGTCCTTCAGTGCACAAAATTTTAATTTTGCTGAGGTCCAATATATGTTTTCTTTTGTTGTTTATGCTTTTGGTATCATATCTAAGAGGCTATTTCCAAATCCAAGGTCTTGAAGATTAACCCATGTATTTACTTCTAAGTGTTTTGTGGATTTAACTGAGATTTAGTTCATCAATCCATTTCAAGTTAGTTTTTGTATATGGTATGAGGTAGGGGGTCCAGCTTCATTCTTTCGCATGTGATAATCCAGTTGTCCCACCACCAATTGTTGAAGCAACTATTTCCCCCTTATTGAATGGATTTGGCATCCTTGCCAAAATCTGTTCACTAAGTGAACTCAATTCTGTTCCATTGGTCTATATTTCTATCTTTATGCTAGCATAAGAATTTTTATAGCTTTGTAAAAAATTCTGAAATTGGGAGTGTGAGCTCTTAACTTTCTTCTTTTTCAAGTTTTTTTGGGGGGATTCTGTTTGGTTCACTTTATGATTCTGTATGAATTTGAGAATTGACTTGTCCATTAAAAAAATAAATACTGCTCGAAGTTTTATAGGGATTATGTTGAATTTGCAGTTTGCTTTGCATAATACTGACATCTTAACAATATTAATTCTTATTATTCATGAGCACAAGATGTCGCATTCCAAATATTTAGTATTTAGGTCTTATTTAATTTAATTTATTTTTAATAATTATTTTTTAGTTTTAGGTGGACACAATATCTTGATTTTATTTTTATGTGGTGCTGAAAATCGAACCCAGTGCCTCATGCATGCTAGGTAAGCGTGCTACCACTTGAGGCCACATCCCCAGCCCCTAAATTAATTTCTTTAAGCAATATTTTGTAGTTTTCTTCTGCAAATGTTTCACTTTTTTTTTTTTTTTTAAGTTTTACTGCTTTGCCAACAAAGGAGAAAAATGGGACTCCTATGCTAGATGCTGTGATTCTGCCCATTAGGAGGAACAGGGGGATTTTAAAGAGGTGATTCAAAGGCTACATTCCAGGTGTTCTCTATCCAGAGTTGTAATTTACTTGTTAATTTGGGAGATGGTAACTTTTTAGATCTTCTGATGCCATCCTAGAAGTCTTGAATTAGTTCGTTCCTGTGGACTTTCACCTTCTTTGTTTATTTTTTTCCTAGACATTTTATTCTTTTAGATACTGTTGTTAATGGAATGGCTTTTTAATTTCCTTTTTGATTGCTCATTGTGGATATATAGAAACACAACTGACTTGACTTTGCTGAATTCATTTATTAGCTCTAGTAGCTTTCTTGTGGAATCTTTGGGATTTTTTAATACATAGAATCATGTCACCTGTGCATAGATATCCTTTCCAACTTGGACGTCTTTTATTTATTTATTTTTCTTGCCTAACTGCTTTGACTAAAACTACTAATACCATGTTGAAAACAAAAAGAAAAGAGAGGGAAAATAAGATGAACACTTCTCCCAGTTCTTGACCATTGGCTCTGTGCCGGAGATCTCAACATTTAGCTAGGCTTGCTCCGAGCCTAGGGATCAGCCCAAGGTGAAAGCTTAGGGTCCTTCTGGGCTTTTCTGTGTAAGCATCTTGACCTGGGCATGTGCATGGCTTTCTAAAATTTCCCCCGAGCACAGGAATTTTTGAATGTCTTAATTTCCCAAAGAATCTCCCCCAGTCTTTCCTCCCAGGCCTTCACAGTCTGTTGCATGTCACCTGTAATCATTTACTAGAGGAATCTGTAGATAATAGGTTCACCTTGCAGTGTTTTTGAGCAATACCCACTGCTTTTTAGTCCCGGTTCTGAGTGATGCAAAATGGAAATGAGCATCTTCTGTTTAGTCTTTTAGGCAGCCCCCAGACAGGTGAGAACTCAATAATTCTCAAATAAGGTCTTTCCTGTTTCCTCTAGAATCAGAGCATAGGGCCTCACAATGGCACATGGATTGTTTATTATTTATCTCCACATTATAACTTAAGTTCCATAAAAGCCAGATGTGGTGATACAGGCCTGTATCCTAGCGACTTGGGAGGCAGAGGCAAGAGAATTGCAAGTTCAAGGCCAGCCATGGCAAGTTTGAGGCCAGCTTCAGCTACTTAGCAAAAGCCTGTCTCAAAAAGGGCTGGGAATGTAATTTAGTGATAAAGTGGCCCTGGGTTCAAACCCCAGTACCAAAAAAGTTAAGAAATTAAGTTCCGTGAGAACAACAGTCTTATCTGTCTTACTTATTCACTGTAATCATTCACTCTGAACACTGTGCCTGGCTTATAGCAGATACTCAACAAATTTTAGTTGAATCAATGAATGTATCCACTATAAAATTTACATAATATGGGAAATATAATTGAACTCAAAATGTTAAATGTAAGTTGGTAAATATCCATGAGAATTATTGGGATGGTTCTCATACCAGCAGTTGAAGAATATGTTTTGCTCAAAATAACAGAAAAAGGTGAAAAAGGAAAAAAAAAAAAAGCCATTTTACACATATCCAGGGAAGTTGAGAAGTGTAGCTCAGAGGAACACTGCTTAGGTAAGAAAGGGAAAGGAAGAGAGATAATTTCATTGTGGAAGGTGTTTTTAGACTACCAAGCCCTGTGATTCTCTATCCTGGTACATTACTACAGTTTGTAATTAAATAATTTGCTTGCTTACATGTTTATAAAATCTCTTACCCACTTTATTGTGTGCTCCATGAAAGCAGAAATCCTGATTGGTACATCCTTAGCTCCTGGCACAGAGTTGGGCCTCAAATAGATAAAATTATGCCCAGAATGCATAAATGAATAATGTGTGCTAAAAACATGGCTTTGCCTGGTATGATGGTGCGTACCTGTAATCCCAGTGATTTGGGAGGCTGAGGCAAGAGCATCACAAGTTCAAGGCCAGCCTCAGCAATTTAGTAAGGCCTTAAGCAAGTTAGTGAAACCCTGTCTCTAAATAAAAAATAAGAAGGGCTGGGGATGTGACTTACTGGCTAAGCACCCCTGGGTTCAATTTCTGGTACTAAAACCCCCTAAAAAACATGGCCTTACAAGAACATTCAGTATAGATTAATCCATTTAACAAATATTGAGTGAGGACCTGCTGAGTGCTGAGTACTGTGTTTGATGCTAGACAGATGAGTGACCCAGTCCCTGCCTAGAAAGAACTCGTGATCTACTGGGGTGATGAACAAGTAAGCATGGGTCACAACTACTGGGGATGCAAGGTGCCCTGGTAGAGAGAAGCACACCTGCTATGTGAACCAGACAAGGGTCAAATGAGTGTATGTGGGGGGCAGTCAGCCAGATGAAGGGCATAGGGTGGGGGAGGGGGAAATTTGACAAAGGAAATGATGAGCTGGGCAGGGCAGGGAAGTTTGCAGGAGAGAAAGACTCAGGTGGTAGATTGTGGAAGGTCTGTTGAGGAGAGCAGCTATCAAGAGCAGGACTAGGTAAGGACATGGAGTGGAGGGGGGACATATCCCTAATCACGTTGGGGGTGGTGGGGTTTCAGAGGGAAACATGGGTTCCTGCGGTCCCCAACTCACAATTGGGAGCCCTTGAAATGAGAAGTGTTCCTCCCGTTGTTTCCTGGTACTCCTCTTTCATCCACTCGTCCATTCAATGGTCATTGATTGAGTTGCTCTGGGCCAACCCTGTTGGGACGGAGTTTACAACAGTAAAAATGATGCCATCTCTAAACTGCCACAGTCCACAGAGTGCTAAATGCCACAGTGGATGAAAGCATGGGGGAATTATAGGAGAGAGGAAAAAGGGCTGCCTAGTGGAGGTAATGTCTAACTTGGGATGGGTAATTCAACCAGGCACTTCAATCAAAAAATAGATTTTGGGAGCTGAGGCAGTAGCTCAGTGACAGAGCACTTGCCTAGCATGTGTGAGGCACTGGGTTCAATCTTCAGCACCAGTAAAAAATAAATAAATAAAACAAAGATGTTGTATTCATCCATAACTAAAAAATATTTTTAAAAATCATATTTTTATAGATAAAAATGTATAAGGTTGGGTGCTATGGTGCTGGTAATCCCAACTACCTGGAATGCTGAGGTAGGAGGATAAAATTCAAGGCCTGCCTGTTTAACTTAGCAAGACTCTGTCTTCAAGTAAAAGGGACTGGTGGTGCATGCCTGTAACCTCAGCATCTTGGGAGACTGAAACAGGAGGATACCATATTCAACGCCAGCCTCAGCAACTCAGCAAGGCCCTAAGCAACTTAGAGCCTGTATAAAAATAAATTTTAAAAAGGACTGGGAATGTATCTCAACGGTAAAGTGCCTCTGGATTAAATCCCCAGTGCTAAAAAAAAAAGGGAAGGAGGGGCAGTGCTGAGGATGTAGCTCAGTGGTAGAGAGCTTGCTTATCATGTGCTAGGCCCCAGGTTCAATCCCTAGTACCTCAAAAGTAATAATAAATATATAGAAACATTTTTATCCCAACCATACTAGTTTTTAGATAGTAGCACAATTCCAGTTTACTAACACTGCCTAACACCCATATTTTCTAAGTGAATAAGGTGGATTTTACAGTTACAGTGTGTATGCCTTCTGTTTTATTGGTTTACTTTACTTTTTTAAAATGACATTATTCTAAGGCCTTTCTCTCAATTGAAGGAATGGTTTGCAACTTGGGGTCCTTAATCCCAGGTCCTCAACAGTGATAGTGGCATTGGAGTTGTTCCATTATTGGCCAAGTCCCCATGTTAAGGTTCTCCTTTCCTCAGCCTGCTCAGGGTCCTTAACGGCTCCTTCTTCGCTTTCAGCAGGAATTGTTACATGCAATGAGGCAAAGCTGGTAATTCAGACGGGGTAGAAACTTGGATTATCTGTTATATACAATTAGATTCCATTTTTAAGGGAAAATGAAGCAATTATTAGTTTAAAATATAGATTTGTTTTGCACACAAATCTTCCATAACAGTGGGAGGAGACAATAACTGAGTTTTAAGTGGTTAAAAGGCTGGAAACCCATGAGCCTAGGAATTCTGAGTTCAAGGGGCAAAGAATTCTCATTTACCCACAAACTGCCCTGTCTCTAGCTCACTTGGTTGTTGGGACAGGAGGAGCCTAGACCCAGGGGACCTCAGAACAGGAGAGGGTGGAAATTCTAAGATCAATCAGCCTTCAAAAGAAGAATTTAAAAAATCCTCCTTGCCTGCCTTTGCTTTTTTCTTGTTTTGCTCCTAAAGCAGGAATTTTGAATGAGCATGTATCACCTTCTTGCTGGCAGGTACTTTATGTTCTTTTTGTTGTTGTTGTTGTTACTGCTGTTGGTGGTGGTGGTACTATGGATTGGATCCAAGGCCTCACACATGCGGGCCAGTGCTCTATCAATGAGCTATATCACCAGCCCTTTTTATTGTGTATTTTGAGACAGGGTCATGCTTAGTTGTCCAGGCTAGCCCCCAACCTGCAATCCTGCCTCAAGTCTTCCCTGGAGTTGATTATGCGTGTGCGCCAGTGCACCAGGCTATGTGCATTATTTTAATCAATGCACATTTCACAAATAGGGTTGCACAGTCAGCGAATAACTGAACCAGAATTGTGAAACCAAACAAAGCTGGCGCTTGAGGCTCTTCAACACTATGCTGTATTGCCTTTTGTACAAAGACGGGGCATATTAGAATTAGGTCCTTCTTTGGACTCCATTACTTCTGGATAATGGTATTATGGATTACCTTTTTCCTTCTGTTTTTCTATAATATCCTATTTTTCTTAATATAGAGTGTTACGTTCTGATGGGAAAATAAAAAACATAAAAAAAAAAGAAAAGTGAAACTTCTCTGGATGAATTCATCAGTAGCTAATGCCTGAGGCTGTCCAGGGGGAGCCTGCAACCCCACTGTTGGATAAGTGGGATGGTTCTAAATTTGGGGATTAATCAGCAGAGAGATGAATTTTGAAAACTGGGATACATTGCTCTGGATGAGTTTGTCGAGCAGAAAATCGGGTTGAAGAAAGAACCCTGAAAGACCAATGTGAAAAAGGAACTGATGAGTGTGAGGAAAAACAAAACCAACCAACCAAACAAAAAAACAGGGAAATAACTTTGTTTCCTTCTATATAATGTGGTACAATAATATTGCATTGTGCAATATTGGCCAGTATTTTTGGTGACAATCTATAGAGTCAAGAAATATCTTGAAAGTATAGAAATTCTAACAAAAGTTAATCTTAGAATTCTAGGATTTGGTATTTTTCTCCCAGCAGAATGAATATTCCCTGATCAAAGCCCTCAAGTAAATTTCGAAGATTTCTGTTTTATAAATGCTTTAATGACTCTGGTTACTGGTAGTGGTGTATCTTTCCCAGAGACGTGGGGACTTTCAGTATTTGCTATCTCGTTAGCCCATAAAGTGATCCTGAACAAGTTATCTTGTCAAGCCCCAATATCTTCGTTTGCAACATGGGAATCACTGCCTTTTGTAGGGTTGTTAAGAGGAAACAGGAAATTCAAAATTAAAGTGCTTAACAGTGCTGGAATACTGTCAGTGGTTTATAATGGTACTTAAAGAGTTTTAAACTGCTGTGCGTGCGCGAGCTTGTATGTGTTTGTGTGTGTTACTGGAGACTAAACTCTGGGGCCCTCTACCATTGATACATTCCTAGCCATTTTTAATTTTTTATTTTGAGACAGGGTCTGGATGGCCTCCAATTTGCGATCTTCCTGCCTCAGCCTCCGAGTCCACAGGATTACAGAAGTGCGCACCAAGCCCAACTGGGCCAGGGCTTTTTGATGCATGAAGGTAAGGATCGCTCTGTCCACCTCCTGACATGGAGAAGCCAAACCCTTAGTCCTAGGGTTCGGAAAGTGCGCGAGTTAGACAAAAACCTCAGCTCAACAACTGCCCCCGACCACCGCCACCAGCCCCTGTACATTCACAAAGACTACAAGTCCCAGCATGCCGCGCTCCGGGTCCTGGGGGCCGCACCGCTTCCGGTTGGCCAAACGCGGCTCCGCTTTAGGCACCGCCTCCTCTCGGTGCCCCGTCGTGGGCGCGCCATGGATCCCGGGTGTTGGATCGGCGGCGAGTTTGAGGACTCGGTGTTCGAAGAGGGGCCGCAGAGGCGGCCCGGGCCCCCCGCGCCCTACCGCGCCAAGCGCTGCGAGCCGCAGGTGAGGGGCGGGGGCCTCTGCCCCGAGGGACCCGGGCCTCGCCCTCCGCGGTGCCGGCGCCGCGGACGCGCTCTCTGGCGCTAGCGTCCCGCGCCAGGCTTTGCTCCACTCCGGCCCCCGGAGCACCGGACACGGCCTGGCCGTGCTGTCTCACCCCGGCCCGCAGTCTCCAGGGGCGCTGGGGTGCCTTCCCGACCCTGCTGCGGCGCGCTCAGGGCCACAGCCCTCTTTGCAAACCTCAGCGCTGTGCGTCCCCAAACGGGAACGTCCGCGCACCTGCCCGCCCTGAACTTCGTGCCCACTAACGCCCTGGTAGCCCACATCGAGCCAGGCACAGCCATTTCTCAGGGCCCATCGTAAATGCCACCTCATCCAGGAAGTCTTCTGATTCCCTCCTCCAGTGAAATTTTTTTGTCTTGGCGCCCCTACCCGCTGTTAGCTTCTCTTTAAAGCGCTTGTCAACGTGCTCGTGAAGCCCTTAGACCGCAGCACTAAATGGTCACACGACAGTTGTTCTTAACTTGATGCCCACTCTGCAGTGCCTGACAGTTTTGTTCAAAATAGGAAGTCCATGCGTATTCTTGAATTAGTAGAGTATTACTTTGTAATATTTCATGAGGTAAATGTCATCTCTCCGGGCATAGCTAGTATTTATGCAAACCTGAACCAGGCACTGTGCTGGGTTCTCTTACATGGATTCTCTTATTTGTTCCTCAGTAAGCTGTATTTAGAGACGCCAGGGACTCAGTAATTTCTGAATTGTACTTTTTTTTTTCCAATTTTTTCTTAATATCCGCAAAGTCAAAGTGACCTTCAGTACTCAATGTGTAAACTAAAAACAGGGATTGGGCTTGAGCTGTATTGTGGTAGAGCATTAAAAAGCTCTGGTTTTAAGATAGGACCCTTGAATTTCATCAATGTGTCAATTTCTTATTTCTCATTTGGGAAAAACACTTGCTGGCTTACAGGGTTACTGTGCAAGTGAAATGAGATGCTGTTTATGAAGATACTTGGCCAAGTGATAAAGTAAAACCCAAAAGTCTCTTTACTTAAGAATATGTTCGCTGCGTGAGTCTGAAAATCTGCTGCTCACAAATAGCTCAAGGAGGCCTTATTGTAGTTACATTGGTTTCCCTTGTTGAAAATAAGAGTTTGGCTTAGAAGATTTCTGTTGCCTGGCCTGCTTCCTTATCCAGGCATTTCCACCCTGTTCACAAGGTTCTTCCCTCCTTCCTCAATAGAGGGAGTATTGGAAGGCATCATCTCTCTGAATCCTTGGCCTGCCATGGTATGGGAGAATATAGGTAATCATCAGGAAGCCAGCTGTGCTTCATCATTCCCACTAGGATAATGGAAATTGGATGGAGGTTGATAGGTTTCGGTTTGGAAAGCTGGGACTGGCTAATCTGAAACAGTGACTAGACAGCAGTGGTGTATACAGGGAAAATGTGGGTCCATTGCATAGACTGTTATGGGCTGACGCAGTGCTTGAGGGAGAACAGAGAAATGGTTCCTGGTCTTCTTCACTGTGATGAATCAGGCCAAGAAAACTGATTTTACTAAGATAGCAGAGAAGCACTGATAGTCAGACAGCTCTTTTAGAAATACAGCAAGCAATTATGATGTGAAGGTGGAACCCTCACAAATGAAGTTACATTCACATTAATAATAGCCAGGGATGAGCTTTCTTCAGCTTCCATGTGCTTTACTTAAACTAGTAGAAAAGCAAGGAAAGCATCCCAGGTGGGCATCTCCAGCATTTCTCCCGTTGCCCTTTGGTGTTTGGTTGCATTAAAGCCTCCTTTTAGCCTTGGTTTCTGTCTCCTTCTTTGCTTAGATTCTTTTGTGCCTTTCATCATTTTTCCTAACAATACCTCAACCATAATTCTTTTTTCTATGTCTTTTTCATAAAGAATTGTCAGTCTCTATTCCATTCTCTAAAATTGCTTTAAAAGAAAACATCTCATTTTAAAAAACCATTGTGAACTGTGCAGGGTAAAGGTAGGGAATTCCCAGGCATCACACTGGTATCGGAAATGATGTAAATAAAACCACATTTCTCATGCAGCTTTTTGGGGGAGATAATATTATCAATAGATTTATTACTTGTAATAATTTTAATCAAAACTGGGTCATCATTAAAGTTGTTATTCTTTGTTGGATATTTTCCCTAGTCTCATCTTGAAGAGGTATGTCTTTCTGAGGTTTAATTGATGATATTATGGAAAATTACTCCTCAGGATGAGATGAGAGCATAGCTTCACTCTCTGTAATGTGCTCTGTTCATAATTTCTAGTGGTTTTATGAAGAAACTGAGAGCAGTGATGATGTTGAAGTTCTAACTATCAAGAAATTCAAAGGGGACCTGGCCTACAGACGACAGGAGTATCAGGTAGGATCAAACATGTAAGGCTGTGGTACTTGAAGTGAGCTTCTGTTGTATCAGTGACAGCATATGTGACTAACAGTGTACTATGTAATAAGTGTGTGTTTTTTAATGTTTTTAGTTTTTTAATACCTTTATATATTTATTTATTTTTATGTGATGCTGGGGATTGATCCCAGTGCCTCACATGTGCTAGGCAAGCGCTCTACCCCTGAGCTATCCCCAGGCCCATGAATGTGTTGGTGAAGATGGATTTTTTTTTTTTTAAATAATCTTAGACTCTCAAGTTTCTATACTGTTTTATGTGGCTTTATATAATTTGCTTTGTTTCCCATAACTCCAAAAAAAGAATCTTTTTGGGGTCCCTGTAGATCTGTTTCCTTAGGTTCAGTAGCTCTCTCATTATTGTGTGTCTCCAGCATAGAAATCTCATGGTGTTACAAGAGCATCTCAGAATGTGTAAGAAAAGAAAAGAATGAACAACTAAGAGCCAGGTTACTTCTCATATTTACATCTTCATGATGATATTGATGGAAAGGTTCTATGGCAAGGCAGCAGCAAAACCAGGATTTGAAGCCTGATCTTTTGGCTCTGGAATGCTTTCTATGGTATTGGTCATTGTACCTCCAGCCATTCTGTCTCTACTATTGAGCAAAGTAGTACTAAGACACTCAAGTTCTTTGTGGGATCAATTATAACATTATTTTCCATCTAGGGAAAAAAAAATCACCTGATCCTGAGTCCTCTTCTATCTTTCTTTTCTTCTTCTCTTTTTTTAAACAACTAATTGTCAGAAAGCACTGCAGGAGTATTCCAGTATCTCTGAAAAATTGTCATCTACCAATTTTGCCATGAAAAGGGATGTCCAGGAAGGCCAGGCTCGGTGTCTTGCTCACCTGGGAAGACATATGGAAGCTCTAGAGATTGCTGCAAACTTGGTGAGTCGTTTCATTGCTTGTTTTCACACATTTTCCTATACCAAGGACAGTTTCATGGTTTATTTTCAAACGACAAAATGAAAAACTTGCTAGAAGCAAAATGGGTGGATTTGCATAAGCAGAAGAAAATCATGAGCCGTGTAAGGGCTTTATTATGAGGAACAGTTGGAGCTATAGATATAATCATTTTCTTGTTATGTTTTTCCTGTAATAAGCTTGAAATTTATTGCCTGAGAAAATCTCATTTGCAGAGGTTTATTCTTAGGAAGTGTTAATAGGGCAGGATTATGAGTGATCTATTTTCTTTTTTAGATTTATTTAGGCTCTGTGCTCCAAAATTTCTACAATGTACCATATATTACTTCTGTAAGCAGAAGTTATAAAAACATGACTAAATATTCATTCCAAGTCAAGCTTAATAGTCCTTTTTATTTTTAAGTAGACTTTGCAGAAACTTTATAAGGATAAAGAAAATTCTTTGTAATTTTGTTTGTTTATATTTTCAGATTAGGGCATTTATGGTTTACTTGTTGATTTCTGTGTAAATATTGGTCTAAATTGACCAATATTGACTGGTCTAAATTGACCAGTCATAGTATAAAAAGACCAGTTTTCCTTCTTTTTGGGTGTTAGTGAGACACTATCACACAGATCTTGGGCCCCATGGGTGTAGGTCATCAGAGGTCAGCCCCAAAAGCATTTACTGAGCTGTCTTTCTCCATCTCATTCATCTTTGTTAGCCCAGGGCTTCACTGCCTAGGACTTCAACCTCTCAAAGTCCTTTAAGAGTGTAAAATCCAGCTGTGTTTTGTTCTTTCTTTCCCCTTCTCTATTAATTGCAAGTTAATCAATCCACTCATTCTTTCTTCCTTCTGTTCTTTTTTTCTTTTTGATGCTGGAGATGGCACCCAGCTCCTTGCATATCCTAGGCAAGCACTCGACCAATGAGCTACACCCCCAGCTTTTTTAGTTTTATTTTGAGATGGGGGTCTCACTGAGTTTCCCAGGCTGACCTTGAACTTTTCCTGCCTATCCTCTCAAATGCAGCTTAATATTTTTTTTTCTTTTCTCTTTTTTAATTTATTTTTTATTTTTTTTATTGGTTGTTCAAAACATTACAAAGCTCTCGACATATCATATTTCATACATTTGATTCAAGTGGGTTATGAACTCCCATTTTTACCCCGTATACAGATTGCAGAATCACATCGGTTACACATCCACGTTTTTACATATTGCCATACTAGTGACTGGTGTATTCTGCTATCTTTCCTATCCTCTACTATCCCCCCTCACCTCCCCTCCCCTCCCATCTTCTCTCTCTACCCCATCTACTGTAATTCATTTCTCTCCCTTGATTTTTTTTCCCTTTCCCCTCACATCCTCTTATATGTAATTTTGTATAACAATGAGGGTCTCCTTCCATTTCCATGTAATTTCCCTTCTCTCTCCCTTTCCCTCCCACCTCTCGTCCCTGTTTAATGTTAATCTTTTTCTCATGCTCTTCCTCCCTGCTCTGTTTTTAGTTGCTCTCCTTATATCAAAGAAGACATTTGGCATTTGTTTTTTAGGGATTGGCTAGCTTCACTTAGCATAATCTGCTCTAATGCCATCCATTTCCCTGCAAATTCCATGATTTTGTCATTTTTTAGTCCTGAGTAATACTCCATTGTGTATAAATGCCACATTTTTTTAATCCATTCATCTATTGAAGGGCATCTAAGTTGGTTCCACAGTCTAGCTATTGTGAATTGTGCTGCTATGAACATCAATGTAGCAGTATCCCTATAGTACGCTCTTTTAAGGTCTTCAGGGAATAGTCCGAGAAGGGCAATAGCTGGGTCAAATGGTGGTTCCATTCCCAGCTTTCCCAGGAATCTCCATACTGCTTTCCAAATTGGCCGCACCAATTTGCAGTCCCACCAGCAATGTACAAGTGTATCCTTTTCTCCACATCCTCGCCAGCACTTATTGTTGTTTGACTTCCTAATGGCTGCCAATCTTACTGGAGTGAGATGGTATCTTAGGGTGGTTTTGATTTGCATTTCTCTGACTGCTAGAGATGGTGAGCATTTTTTCATGTACTTGTTGATTGATTGTATATCCTCCTCTTCGAAGTGTCTGTTCAGGTCCTTGGCCCATTTGTTGATTGGGTTATTTGTTGTCTTATTCAAATGCAGCTTAATCTTTACTCTGGAAAGAATCTATGAACATTGAAGCCAGGATTTAACTGTGCTCATTCCCAGTCTTCCTGGTCTGCAAATCGACAGCAGCTTGAGCCTTTTCAGACACAGCACTGCTCTGCTTTTCCATCACCTCGCTCTTGTATGGCATCTTTGAACTTAACCCTCTTCCTTTTTCACTAAAGGCAGCAGCAGCTAGATTAGTAGCAGGGACCCCAGGTCCCATTTCTGTGGTTCACTCAGTGCATCTGTTCCTGTGGCTTAGAGAATGATTTTTTTTTTCATTTAGCTCAAGTGGTGACCAGGCAGAAGGTTTCAGTAACATGTCAGGACTTTCAGAACTGGTTATCAGTCTTCTGGGCACCTGCTGGGCAGGGAACTAGTGGTTCTCACCCCTTTTGGGGGTCTCTTGCATATTACCCTAATGGATACTGCCTATCTATAAGGTTTTCTCATTTCCTAGTAACCTGATGTTTTGTTTTTTAATTTCTTCTCTACTTGAGGTCTCTTATTTTGCTGTTAGCTCAGGCCCAGGACTGTTTTTTTTCCTCATAGTTTTTTGTCTTCTCACATTCTGTAGAGGGACAGATCAGTGTGTAATGTTGAACAAAATAGATAGCAAATCTATATTTGTAGATTATATTATATTTGACTATAACTCTTCTGCTTATCAGCTGTGTGGCCTCAGGCAAGATATCTAACCTCTCTGTGTTTACATGTTAATTAACATCTATGGTGGCTGAAGAACTATGCTCTGCACTATGAATTTAGCATTAAGTAAAAATTCTCATGGACCTTAATGGTCTTGTTGAGAAGGCTAGACACTAAATAATAATAATGAAACAAGGTATATTCAGTCTTTGATGAGGTGCAGTATCACCAAAAGTGTATGGGGCTTTATTTCATATTGTTTCACTTAATTTGGGAATATTCTCAGCCTCCACAGGCTTCCCCTGACTTCGTGCCAGTTGCTCTCGCCTGCAGCGTGGAGTTGGCTCCTGCTGCACTCTCTGAATAGCTGTGTGCAGAAGCTTGCTCTGGGCACTCACAGGCCAGGCTTTCCTTAGCCTTCACAGCAGCTTGAAGATAATGTTATCTGCCATCTGCTTTCTGCAGACTTTAGAAAAAGCAGGCCTATTTTTCCTAATCCAAAGGGTATTTGCCAGATGGCAGGTTAGGCAAGAGGTGGTGGTTCTGGTTAAGGAGACTTAAAAAGGGTTTTCTGATCAGAATGAAACCAAGCAACCTCCTCTGGCCAAAAATGGCTGGCCTTGGTAGAATTAGCAGGGAAGGCATTTGGATTCAATTGTGATGCATCACGAAGCACCCAGGGCTCAGGGCTGTCATGTTCGGGGCTGTCATGTTCGAGATTTCTAAGCCCAGCAAGATGTCAGATGGACTTAAAAAAAAAAAATCACCTTTTTTTTTTTGTACCAGGAATTGAACTAAGGAGTGCTTAATCACTGAGCTATATCCCCAGGCCCCCTCCCTGCTGCCCTTTTTAGTTGTTAATGGACACAATATCCTTATCTTATTTATTTATTTTTATGTGGTGCCGCAGATCAATCCTAGCACCTCGCATGTGTGAGGCAAACTCTCTACCACTGAGCCACAATCCCAGCCCCTCCCCAGCCCTTTTTATTTTTTTCTTTTGAGACAGGGTCTCACTAAGTTGCATGGGGCCTTACTAAGTTGCTGAGGCTGACCTTGAACTTGCAATCCTCTTGCCTCAGTCTCACAAGTTGCTGGGATCATAGGCATGCACCATCATGCCCAGCTACCTTTTGGGTTTTTTGAAAGCATGAATGTTAAAATGGAACCATTAGGACAGGGCCTAAGAAAATTGGCTTGGGTCTTTTTAGATGTCTGGCTGAAAACAAAGATAATGATAAAAATTGAATTCAAACTGACATTTATATTTTTTGGTGCTGGACTTGTCACTGTTACATGAATTGTTACTTTATTATGACATTTGGATGTTTGGGATGGCTGATGTTTATTTTGCTAGGTAGTATATATTGCTCTTGGTTTATGGTTTCAAGCTTGTGATCCATTGAAGTATATTTAGTTCACTCAGAATGTATGAGTACTGAAAGATACTTCTAATGTATAACATACAATTTATGTTGTATACATTAGACATCTTTTTGGGTATCTTCTATTTTATATGGAAAACACTTTACAATTACGGTTTTTTATCTTTTTTTTTTTTTTTTCCTTTTCTCCTCAGGAAAATAAAGCTACCAATACAGACCATTTAACCACTGTGCTCTACCTCCAACTTGCTATTTGTTCAGGTTTGCAGAACTTGGAGAAAACAATTTTCTGCCTGCAGAAACTGATTTCTTTGCATCCTTTTAATCCTTGGAGCTGGGGCAAATTGGCAGAGGCTTACCTGAATCTAGGGCCAGCTCTTTCAGCATCGATTGCATCATCTCAGAGACAGAACACTTTCACCTCAAGTAATAAAACTGTCCTGTCCTCCTTTCCACACTCAGGAAAGGACTGTATTTTGTGTTTCCCTGAAACTGTGCCTGAGAGCTCTGTGCTTTCTGTGGAAGCAAGTGTCAGGAATGGCCAGAAAACCGAGAAAGCTTTTAAAAACAGTCAGAATTGTGTGACTGGAAAGGGAGAAGCAGTGTTGATAGAGACTCAGATGAAAGCATGTGCCTCTCTGATCCGAACCAGGTAAGCTGAGTGGTGTGACAGGGTGGGGAAGGAGCTCAGGGGAAAGGCTTCATTTATTTTATATATTTCATTTATTTCAAAAAGTTCTAAGCAAGACTTGGTGTATGTTTTTGAATTTTTCCTATGATCTAGACAGACCCCTTTGAACATATGTCATTTCATTGCGTAAAACTTTGAAACATTATTAGTTGCTCAAGAATACAACTGGGGGACTGGGATTGTGGCTCAGTGGCAGAGTGCCTGCCTCGCATATGTGAGGCCCTGAGTTTGATCCTCAGCACCACATAATAAATAAATAAAATAAAGGTATTGTGTCCATCTCCAACTTAAAAAAAAAATATATATATATATATATATATAAAAGAATACAGGGCTGGAGTTATAGCTCAGTAGTAAAGTGCCTGCCTCGCACGTGTGAGGCACTGGGTTCAATTCTCAGCACCACATAAAAATAAATAAAGATTAAAAAAAAAAATGAATACACCTGGGGTGAGTGCTCAGTGTAGAATGTTAAAATTGGAAAACACTAAAAAAAATTAGGAAAATTAAATTGGAAAAGGGAAAACAGCTGTTTTAAAGAAGGAAATTTTTATTCATATATTCCAAAGAAATCTGAAGAAAATCTGTTGTTGTGTTTGAATTGCTGATCATGTGAATAAACAGTTCTAAATTCATTCTACAGATAATTCCCGTGGTTTGCCCCTAAGGACTCCAAGTACTTTGAATCCTTAAGGTATAAGAATTTGAGAAGAAGGCAGGGAAAATACCCTTAACCAGTTCTATAATTTATGAGAGAAGAAATAGACACCATCTTGAGAACATAGAGATTATTGTTATATTTTCTCTCTGGAGAATTCAAGAACTATTAACAATGAGGCTTAAGTGAGAAGTGGCATCTATTTGGCAAATTTTAAAATTTATTTCATAGATACTTAGTTGGCATTGACTGTGTCACTTTTTTTCAAAAGCACATGTGCCAGGCCCTTGCTTGGTACTAGGATCATAAAGATTGTTTAAAACAAAACAAAACAAAAAAACAGTCCCTTTCCTTACAATTTTGTAATTATCTAGTCAGTGACTGGCACACAGGTGCTAAATAGCTTATCAGTAGTGTGAGCAGAATTCCATGGGGAACAAGATAAGGGAGCTGTTGGTGTGGCAGGAAGAACCAAGGCTTCAGAGACTTTCCAGGGGATGGTGTTTCTGCCAAATGTACCTGGTGGGAATGCTCACCAACCAAGGACTAAGTAATCGTGTGCATGATTTCATCTCAATCCTCATGACCGGGGTTACTGTTAGGATCCTATTTGATGGACTAGGAATCTATTAAAATCATTCCTAAAGTGGCAAAGCTGTGAAGTCCAGGGCCATCATTAGATGCAGTTCTTGCTCATTCCTTGTTATAATCCCAAGGCAAGGGAAGGCATGCAGAGTAAAGAGAAAGCACAGCCCAAAGGGCCAGGGGTGCTGGTGTAAAACAACCACAGTCTGGTGGTAAGAACAGCGTGTGGTAGGAGCCGAGCCGTAGGTAGTCTGTAGACCATGCCAGAAGCAGAGGAAGTAAGAGGTAGGACTTTGGAGTCTGATCTGATTTTGAAGAACTCAGTGAATTGTTGATGTTGAGTGAATGAACCTGGGCTGTTCTACTTGCCAGCTGTCTGACCTTGTGCAAAACTCTCTGGGCTCCAGGCTCCTCCTCTTCATAGATGGAGGAATAGGGGAAATGCCTACTTTGTGGGGTTGTAGTATTAAAGTATCTAAGTACTTACTGTACTGTGCAGTATATAGTAGGCAAATGATAAATGTTATCTTTTGGTACTTTCGCTGCTATTGGATTTTATTATTATTATTATTATTATTATTATTAGCACAAGATGTTAGATGTCATCTTAAAGATTTTGCTCCTTGAGCTAAAGACCTGGAGAGTATTTGAAGGTGGTGTGGTCAGAGCAGTGATTCAGAGTGAGACCTGGTGGCTGGGATGATGGTCTAGAAGAAGATATTTGGAATTGGGGACACCAGTGAAGAGGCAGTGGAATGATTGGTGAATAGTGGTAGAGTCTTACCTAGTACTGTGTAAAGGAAACAAAAGAAGAAAATTATGTCCTTGCAGTATGGAATCGACAAGATTTGGAGGCCCGCTGAGTGTGTGGGGATGGGTGTGAGGAGAAAGGCAGTTTGTCCTGGGTGGATGGTGCTGCTTTTTGCTGAGATTAGACACACAGGATGACCGGGCAGATTCAGGGTGGAAGGAATGATGTAGGCTCAACATCTGTGGCTCACCCATCTGGAGTTGTTCATTAGGAAATAAAAGTCACACTTCGAAGAAGGGAGCTATGGATTAGAAGGAGATCAGCAATTGGGTGGTTGTGGAGGTCAAGTAGGATTACTTGAGAAGAGGGCTTGAGAACTAGGAAGTCGTCTGTGCTGTTAAGCAGCCGATTTCAGTAGGAGGACAGGGAGAGAAGAACAGCTGCAGAGGGCTGAAGGTTAAGAATGAATGAACGTGATATAGAAAGGAAAAGCTCTGTTTTCAAGTGACTACAGAGACAGGGAAGAAAGCAAGTATGGCAAAATGGTCACTGCTTCCGGCCACGGGGCAGGTGACATGAACGGGTTGCGCTGAGACAGCAGTGCGTCTTTGTACCTTCTCCTGTAGAAAGCGCCATTGCAGTTGCTTCAGTTTCACGTTTGTCTTTGTCTGTTAGCTGAGGCTATAACAGAATACCATGGACTGCTTAATTTATCAAGGAAGAAACACAGCTGGGTGCCATGGCACATACCTGTCATTCTTGTGACCCAGGAGGATCACAAATTGAAGGTCAGCCCTAGCAACTCAGCAAGAACCTGAGCAACTCAGTGAGAAATCGTCTCAAAAAAAGGGCTGGGAATGTAGCTCAGTGGTAGAGCCTAATCTCCAATGCCAAAAAAGAAGAAAAAAAAGATTATTTCTCCCAATCCTGGGGCCTGGGAAGTCCAAGATCAAGTGCCAGCCTCTGATGAGGGTCTTCCTACTCTGCTATCATGATGGAGGGCATCAGATGGCAAGAGAGAGCATGCACATGTGGACCAGAGAGGAAGTCAGCTGAACTCATGCTTACACCAGGAACCCACTCCCAACACAGGGCTTTAATGCATTCATGCACTTAACTCTTAAAGGTCCTGTGCCTGGACACCAACACAGTGGCAGTCGGGTTTTGACAGGAATTAGGGAATATTTGCTCCATAGCAGCATTTTTTCCCCTGGCTGTGCCATGGCCATATTGATGCTCTTTCTAATTTTCTCACACATCAAACTTTTCTGTCAGGGCCTCCTTCCCCCTGGCCAGGAGGCCCCTTCCCTCAGACATTCTCCTAGCTGGTGCCCTATCAGTTAGGTCTTGACTTGGATGGTATCTCAGGAAACCTTTCTGCACTGTCCCGTTCTAAGGACACACTCTCATGGATTATTTTTTGTGGCACTTTTAACTACCTGAAATTATGCTTGTGTGTTCTCTCCTTCCGTTCTGTGAGGCCAGCCCAGGTCTGTCTTCTCTCCAGTATCTCTCAGTGCCTGGAGCCATGTCTGGCACTGCTCAGTACACAAAATGAGTAAATAGCAGAGCCTGGTCCTCCTGGGCATGCCACAGGGACCAATGAGGCCAGAGGGAAATTGGGAAAATCTGCACATTCTCTATAAGAAGGAGGAGGAGCCACATGAGGATGGAGGGGGGAACAGCAAGAGAGGGGACCAGGTTAGGATCACCGTGGGACATCAGTGGTAAGGCAGTTGCACAGTAGTTGTAAGAGGGTCATCAAAGGTTTGGCCCTGCTTTGGGTAATTGAAGTTACCAGTGAAGCTAATTAGTCTTTGAGGTCCAGATGCTGTGAGGTCCAGGGAATGGAAGGGTCATAAAACCCTGGCTTCAAAGAAACAAATCTAGGTGGTGGTGGGGGGGGGGGGGAGTCTGACTGGAAAGTGGTTTTTCTCAATCTAAATTATATGTGTTTTTAGCCACTTGCCTTCCACAGGGAGCTCTTTTGAGGTATTGCTGGCTAAAGCTCTCTCTGAGACGTTTTGATCTATTGACTTTAGAAAAGATGAATTTCCAGCATAAAGATGGGCAGTTTATTCAGAGTAAGGAGCTATAGGAATTCAAGTGAAAGTTCTGTTGAGGGTCGGCCTTCTCGAGCCTTGTGGGGCTCATTATGTTGTAGAGCCCACTCATGGGAACTTTTTGGTTTTTCAGACTTTTACTTCAGTTCACCCAATCGCAACAAACATCATTTGCTTTGGAGAAGAACCTAAGGACTCAACAGGAAATTGAAGATAAAATGAAAAGTTTCAGCTTCAAAGAAGACACTTTGCTGTGGATCGCTGAGGTAAGTGTACCCCTTGGGTTTATAAGACACAAGGCATCAGATATTTTTCCTGGCTCTGACACCATTTTTATAAGGAACAACCAAATCCCATCTACAGAAGGTCTGTGTCTCCCTCCTTTATGTGGCCTCTTCACCATCCTTACCCTGCAGTGAGCCTGCCTGTAGGGCTGTTCTGTGCTTGCCAGTACTTGTTGGCACCTGCCTGCTGGGACACCTGAATGCCCTTCATTGTTTTAATGCTGAAGAAACTAAAGGATGAATGCTCACATTTATGCCAGGTTTATATGCTTTTCCTCCATTCATTCTCATAGCTGGTGAGGACAGATGGAGCTGGAATAGAAGCCCAGGGAGGTTGTGACTCCCCTGAGGTTGGCCCTTAAGTGGTAGCACTTGTCTAAAACCAGTGTGGGTCAGCTGCAAGTTCGTTTTCTTTCTACTCCACTCTGTCACTACTTTGGTGGTTGCAGAGAAATACAAATGTCATCATTTGCATCCTATATTAACTTTCTTTTTTAAAAGCTGGATTTTTGGGGCTGGGGATATGGCTCAAGCGGTAGCGTGCTCGCCTGGCATGCATGCGGCCCGGGTTTGATCCTCAGCACCACATACGAACAAAGATATTCTGTCTGCCGAAAACTAAAAAATAAATATTAAAAAAAATTTCTCTCTCTCTCTCTCTCTGTCTCTCTCTCTTAAAAAAAAAAAAAGCTGGATTTTTGTAAAGTACACTGTTGAAATTTTTTAAAGATGGCACTTGAGATTATGTTTTAAGCTCTTCATGCTACTTCCTTTCAGTACACAACTGAAACTTTACAGCTCTGGTACTCTTCCCTGAGAATGACTTTCAAAAAGTACTTATTATGCTGGGTATGGTGGTGACCCCTGTCTCAAAAGAAAAAATAAAAAGGGGTGGGGGATATAGCTCCATGGTAAAATGCTCCTGGGTTAATCCTAGTACCAAAAGAACAAATAGATAAAGATTTTAAAAAGTATTTATTGCGAGGCTAGGGTTGAAGTTGGGTGCTAGATCATCTGCCTTGCGTGCCTGAGGTCCTGGGTTTCATAACCAGCAAGGGAAAAAAAGGTACTTAACTGCAGATCTCTACTGCCAGTCTTCTTTCTCTCTTCCCAACACTAAGCTGGCTCATTATGAACTTTTCCCTGCGTTCTCTGTCTGCTCTCCTTTGGCCTTTGTAACTTTCTGCCTCCTATAGGGTTTTTCCCTTGAGCCCGTGGATACACACAGGCACCTGCCTCTTGTAATTGTATCTCAGCCTTTCCTTAGTCTTTGTTTTCCTTTATCTTTGCATAGAATGTCTGTTGGCCACTCACTTTTTTTTTTTAGTTGTAGTTGGACCTTTATTTTATTTATTTATTTGTATGTGGGCTGAGGATGGAACCCAGCACCTTGCATGTGTTAGGAAAGTGCTCTACTGCTGAGCCACAACCCCAGCCCTGGCCACTCATTTTTAAATCGTCTCTTTACTTCTTAGAGGCTACACTACCCTGTTTATCTCCTATATTTCTCTCTCTTTCCTTCCTCCCTTTTTCCTCCTCTCTCCTACCCCTTCCTCCCCTTCCTCCCTTCCTTCCTTCCTTTGTCTCATTCCACTCTGCCCTCACCTTCATTTTCATTCTTGGGTTTCCCACACTGGGCTCAAGTACTGGCCTCAAATGATCCTTCTGCCTCAACCTCCTGAGTAATTGGGACTACAGGCATGGGCCACCATGCCCTGCTATTTAGTGTTCCTCTGCCTCTTGGGACTCCTGGTTTCTTCTGTGGCATGACGTTTTCTAAGGTTTCACTTCAGTTTTCTCTTCTCTTTGCCTTTCTTTTCCCATCTCTGAAATCGTAATGGTGCCCATGGTTTCAGTTGTCACCTTGGCGTTGGTTACTTTTAGTCTGTGTCTCTTGCCTCAGCTCTGGAGCACTGTCTCACATCTCTGGTTGGTTACTACTGGAGGTAACTGAGATGGTTATTGATTATTCTACTGTCACTTCCAGTGACGTGAAAGCACTTACGTCAGTCTTGCAGACCCTCTCAGGAAGTGGAGGAGCATTGGAAAGAGCCATCTGACTTAACTGTTTTTCTTTGATACTGTCTGTCACTCTTCTTTCCAGACCTGGAACCTCACTGGCTCTGGGCCTCTTTCCATCTGGGGTTAGCCTTGCCAGTCACCCACCAAAGCCCACACTCCTTCAGCTTCCATCTTTGGTTTCTGTTCCACATTAGCAGCTAGTCTTCTCCACCTCAGGTTGACTCTCACAGTGGCCTCTGTCTCGTCTCACCTTGCTTCCTGGCTTTTCCCCCTGAATCTATCTTGACTTGCTTTGACGATGTTACCTGTTTGTTTAAAAACTAAGATGAGTCCCTGTTACCTCTGAGGTCAGGTCTGATCTAGGATCTTTAATGTGATATCCAAGGCCTTGCAGAGTGTAACCCCAAACTTACTAACCAAGAATTCCTTACACAATCTTTTGCCACTACTAGACTAGTCTTTCCATCTCTAGCAGACCTATCCTGGGGCTTCCAGTCTCTACCTGCTTAGCTTCTCATCCTCAGATCTCAGCTGAGGTCCCATACATTGGGGCAGCTTTCCTGGATACTCTTGCCTGTGGTGATTTTTCCTTCTTTAAACTCAGATAAAGTGGTTGCTTGAAAAGATAGCCCTCTGAACCCTAAAAAGTTACAGGAATGTGTCTCATCTCTTCATCTAAATTCTAGGTCTTCATAAGCCAGACCATGTCTTAAACATCATTATGTTCTTCCCATGCTGGGGAAATCTGTCACTTGAGTGGGATGATAGTTCTGTGCTTAGGCGATGCATCTGACACCTGTGGAACTTTTCAAAAGTAATGAATGTCTGGACCCTCTTTAGGATTATTTGTATTATACTCCCTTCATTTTAATTGACTTATGATATGACCTAGACCCTATAGGCTTAAATATTCTTTGATTGCATACTTTTACTTTTTATTTTTAGTTGTTTTATTTGAATTGAGATCCAGATAAAGTCTACATATTATACTTGGTCCTTTTGTCTCTTATATATCTTCCATTTTGAGATGGTTCTTCCCTCCCCCCTTTTTTTACTTTGATAAAATATATGTAGAAAGCGTAATATTTGCCATCATAATCATGTTAAGCATACAGTTCAGTGACATTAAGTAATTCACAGTGTTGTCCCACCATCACCACTGTATTTCCAAAATTTTTCCATCCCCCCAAACAGAAACTTATAAACCCATTAAGCAAAGCCTCCCCATGCCCTCCTCCCTCTACCTCTCATATTCTCTAAACTACTTTCTGTGAATTTACTATTTTTGGTTTTTCAAATAAGGGGAGCCATACAACATTTGCCCTTTTGTGTTTGGCTTAGTATACTGCTGTCAAGGATTGTCCATTTGATAGCATATATCAGAACTTCATTCATGGCTAGGCATTGTGGCACATGACTGTGGTGTAGAAGGCTAATGTAGGAGAAATGCGAATTTGAGGTGGGTCTGAGCAGATTAGTGAGACCTTGTCTCAAAATAAAAAATAAAAAGGGGTAGGGGTAAAACTCAATGGTAAAGTGCTTGCCTAGCATTTGTGAGGCCCTGGGTTTGTTCCCCAGTACTGGGAAGATCAAAGCGAAACAACCTCATCCCTATATGTGTATGTGCCATGTTTATCCACTCATCTGTTGATGGATACGTCTGGGTGGTTTCCACCTTTTGGATATTGTGAATAATATTGCTTTGAACATTAGTATGCATGTATGTTTGTGTCCCTGTCTTTAAGGATATATATCTAGGAATAGAATTGCTGGGTCATATAATGTAACTCTGCTGAACATTTTTAGTAACTGCCAAACTTATATTTTGTGACTTTTACCTAACACTGTGACATGGGTATGATTCGAGATTCTTAAATATTATTTGAGTACATAATTTTTAATGGCTATATCCATCCAGTTTTTGAATGAACTATAATTTATTTACTTACTCCCCTATGTTGAACATGTAATAAGTATTTGGTACTTCATTGAATCTAGGAAGTCATCAGTTGTAAAACATTATTATTTGATGTGCCACTAAAAGAAAAATAAGATGCCATTTACACTGTGATGCATCATAAACTACATCTTGATTTCAGAGATGTCAAAATTCAAAAAGTATCTTAGACCTGATAAAATACCATCCTTTAATAAATATTCCACATCTCATTGCAGTTTCCTCTAAAATGTGTGATCTATGAAGATTCAAACCCACTGAGAACCATTTTTTGATTGTATTTCTAATTAAGTAGAGTTTTCATGAAATTGGATCTCAGGTTTGCAGGAGCCATAGAAATCATCTAGTCCAAATCCATGTTACTAAATTTCTTCTGCATTCGTGCTTGACCACTCTATAATATTCTTTCATGCCAAATGGTATTAAATGTTTTAGAACTTAATTTTAGTAAGGCTGATCACTTAGAAGCTTGTGAAGGCCTTCATAAAAAAGTATAAAACAGTTTAGCACCACTTCCAACATTTTGAAGATGTCAGGTAAGGCTTTCTAGAACTTAACTTTGTGAGTCTTACCAAAGAGAAACTAACCCAGAATCTGGGGATGTGACCCTGTGTTCATCCTGGCCTGATTCTGACCAGTAGGGGGCAGTGTTGTGCCTTCATTGGGTAACTGTGCTTTTTAAGTTTACAAGATTGGGTAGGCTTCAGCAGGATCATGGTCTCCTTTTGGGTCAGGAAAAGGCAACCTAGCTCCTACTACTCAGTTGTTTGCTGCTTTTGATGGCTTTAGGGAACTTGTAGGTGATAGGAACCTGTGCCCCATGCACAGCTGCAGTCATATTCTGCCCAAGCTCTGCCTGGTCCTCTCAGCTGTTTTCCAGGAGGGAGAGTCACTTGTAATTGCATTCTCACTGAGGGCATGTGTCTTGATAGAAAAAGGTTGACTTGATGCTCCCAGGAGGCCAGATGGTACTGCAGCTGCATAAGGACAGGCTTCAGCAATTCTTTCACTCGGGAGGAACAGTGGAAATATGTGATGGTTACATACATGATCCTTGGATGACAAATTCTGAATAGATATCTTTTGAATATGTTGGAAGTGTTCCCTGGTAGCTAAAGTACTTTCCCTTTTTGTATGAAGGCCTTTGTAGTTGATGAACAACCTGATCTTCTGTTCCATGTCTGCTGCCTCTTTTACTGGGACAGTATTTTTTTAATTTTGCTACAGGTTATGGGAGAAGATATCGTTCAAGAAAAAATAAAAGAAGAAGTTCACTCAGAGGTGAAGAACATTGGCTCTGCAGCTCTGACTGCCTTGGTGACTGCATCCTCGAAAGAATTTGAAGACAAATGGTTCAGAAAGATCAAAGACCATTTCTGTCCCTTTGAAAATCAGTTCCATACAGAGATACAGATCTTGGCTTAGAGGTCCATTTAAAAACAAAATCATCTTGCACAGTATTAATTGTCCTTGTTTACTTCAGACAGGATTGCTGATCATGGAAAAAGTGAATTTATAATTATGTCTTCTTTCCCAGATTATTTATACTGACAGTGCATTTAGTGTATTTTGCTCTTTTTAGATTTCTTGCTTTCCCTTTATATTGTATCGTCGTCCTACTTCCCATTTGAAGGCATCTGCTGGGAAAGCAAATAAAAGAGGCTTTCATATCGTATGGTCTCTTAAAGACAGTTACTGTATTGTAGCCAGCAGTGAAGAATCCACTTTTTTTCTTCAGGTAAATTCATCAGCAGTGTTCAAGAATGTTGAAATATGAGAATAAACCATTTCTAAGTAGAGTGTGTCAAGAACTGCAAAGGGTGCCTGTAATCCCAGCGGCTCAGGAGGCTGAGGCAAGAGGATTGTGAGTTCAAAGCCAGCTTCAGCGAAAGCAAGGCACTAAGCAACTCGTGAGACCCTGTCTCTAAATAAAATGTGAAATAGGGCTGGGGATGTGGTTCAGTGGGCTAGTGCCCCTGAGTTCAATCCCCGGTACCAAAGGAAAAAAAAAAAATACTGCAAAGGGTCTAAGAGTTTACCTTAATCTGTAAGCTGTCAAGTTAGCCTGCCACAGCCTGGGTGCTGAGAGAAGACAGGAGACTTCTAGATTAGAAATAAAGGGTTTCATAACACAAGGTCCAGCGAGCAGTATGAGCTTCAGCATGTTTGCATCAGCTCCTCTTTCCTGTGGGTCCCATGGAGCTGTCACACATGGGCACACATGAATGCCTCCAGCACCTCCTGTAATGTGCACTGTATGGCTTGTGTTACAGGAGAGAAGCCCTGAGTTAGTAAACTCCAGTCTGTTGCAGTGAGTAGTAAGCATGCTTGCCCTTTGCACCAGAAGGAGACACTGTCTCCTTTGCTGTGCAGACATCTTTGAAAGACAGTCTGGAACAGAGAGTATCAAGTGCATTACGTATAAGACATGCAGAAACAGGAGAGACTCATGGAACATTGTCATACAAAGAGCCTTTTTTTGGGGGGGGGTGGGTATCAGGGATTAAGCTCAGGGGGCCTCGGCCACTGAGCCACATCCCCAGCCTTCTTTTGTATTTTATTTAGAGACAAGAGTCTCACTGAGTTGCTTAGTGCCTCGCTTTTGCTGAAGCTGGCTTTGAATTTGAGATCCTCCTGCCTCAGCCTCTCAAGTGGCTGGGATTACAGGCATGCGCCACCATGCCTGAATGAATAATCTGTGATGGAGGAGCTGCCTTATAAATGGAATTTAATAATAAACCCATACCTCATCAAATGTCCTGCACAACTTATTTTTCTCAGCAGAGGGCAAAGACTCCAGCCCAGGGCATAAGGCGGAGTCCTCAAGATTTCCAACCACACTCTCTTCCAGCTTGCTTCACCTTTCCCACTACCCTCCTTTCCCCAAATGGGCTGGTTTAATGTGCCCATCAATTGCAAGATTAACCCGTCATCTCTGAGATGAGAAGAAAGACTGTATAATTAATAGATATTTCAATTTTAAGAACCATTAAAACTTAGGAAAAATCCCTCAACAGCCCCCAGTGCCCTCCCTCCATTCATTCACCTGCTAGCCATTGTTTATTAGCTCCTGTTATGTGTCAAGCATGCTGTCTGTCGTGGAGTTTGTGGTCTAGTTGTGGATTGCCCTGTCCTGAGGGCATTTTTAGCTCTCAGGCTGTCCTCCCAGACCCACGTCTTCACCATCCTGATGGCCCTAGTGATCTTCGTGGATCCTCCCCACACCTCACTCCCGCCCCGCCTCACCTTCCTGGCAGCGGCGTATAGATGCAGGTGAGGACTAGGCCTGCTGACCTCCGATGCCTGGCTGTCAGGAAGAGTGGGGAAAGGACGAGGAAAATAGGGCACTTCTGGATTTCATCACACAAAGTCCTCATGGCCATTTCCAGCACAGATGGCGGAGGCGTGAAGGTGGGCAGTGACTGCTGAGGAAAGGCCTTCAGGCCTGCCTGTTCAGACGCCTGCCCTGTCAGTGAGTGAGTCACTCAGGATGAGCAAATGGCTGCCACGGATGTGACTGCACTCTGGGTGGGTGGGTGAACCCAGACCAACTCCTTCCCTCTTGTGCTCGCACAGGCCTATCTTTGGTGTTTTCTCCGAAGGAGAACTCTGCTGGGTGCCTGAGCTGGTGAGAGGCTTTTTTTCCCCTTTTACATTCTTAGGCCTCTATGACTTCATGCTGGAGCCAGAGTCTTATAGAGACCATATCCAAGTCCTTCACAAGGCCTGTGAGGCCCTCTGCAGCCTGGCCCTGGCCCATGAGTTCTCACTCATTCTGCCCACTTGGTACCATTCTGGTTCTGGCTCCCTCTCACATCCTTGGGCTCCTCAGGCTTCCTTTATTTAAGCCCTTTGCCCACCCAGTAACCTCTACTTGGCACATTCTCCCCTGTTTCTACCCCCGCCCCCCTCCTCCGCCCTGTCTACACTTTGCTTTCCTACAGATATCAGCTCAGAGGTCACTGTTGGGATATTCCTGATTCCAAAAGTAAGAGTGCCCTGTGCTTTTGTCCAGGTGATTGTAAGAGTTAAATAATTCATTGTGTGATTCCTCCTTGCCAGATCATTGGCTCTCGGATGCTCTCTATGCTTTACCCTTTAATGGTGGAGCTCAGCCTTAGTCATGCCGTGACTGCTGCCTCCCTGGAGCATTAGCCCTTATAGAGGCAGCCTGAGCATGGACCCAGAAACTCACAGACCCATCCCTACAGAGCCTGACCACCAGGACCAAAGGTGTCCTGTATCCACCTGTGCAGTATGGCATTTCAGGAAAGATGTGCTTCAGTTCAGGAAAACAGGTCAAAATCTACAAATGAATCCAAGGCCACAGTAGACAAAAAGATCATTTTAAAGAGCAGCTTTCCTAATGCTTTTGAAATTCAGTCTATGAAAGTAGTTTCCACTCTGCTTTTCAGGGCCTTCATTAAAAACGGCAGCTCTGCTGGTTCAACTGCGCATCCAATTGAGTCAGACGCAGTGGAGCTTGCCTTCTCCATACCTGGCCCTATCCCCTGGCTAACCCAGGCCTTCGGTTGGTGTTGTGGACCCAGTGAAGCTGGAAGAATGCCCCAAGCCAGCAGAACAACAGTCCAAGGAGTGGCAGCTCCAATCCTGTCTTCCCAAAGGGCAGCCACTGCCAGACTTCCTGAAGAGGAGGGGGGAGAAACAGAGGGCAGGCATTCGTCTTCCTTGTCCTTTTCTCTTCCTTGAAACAGGATGGCTTCATGAATGGTTTCATAAAATGTTGGTGTTCTGTGCTCAGCTTCTGAGCTAGTGACTACCTGCCTGCTTCATGGGAACCACTCTCTGGCCCACAGTGGAGGGTACCTGGCTGCCATATTGGTCCTCATCCGCCCTAACTGCTAGGGAGTGGCAGAAGTTACCTGACCCAAGCTGAAATAATTAGATTCTCTCCAAGGGCTTCAGAAGTAGATTCTTCTTGTGTATCCAAACCTAACAGGCTCAAAAGCTGAGAGAGGCATGCTCTTTGCCAAGGTGACAGGAGCAGGAAGAGAGATCTGCAGAGACAGAAAATTCAGGTGATCCCCCAAAAGGGGCAGAAGGGACAGTTGTCTGCTTTTTGCTTCCTGATTTCAGTTCCTTCTTGGCCTCTAGAGCCTGCCTGACGTCTCCATGAGTATAGCAGGCAAAATAATTCCCCCCCAAAGATGTCTAACCCCTAACCCCCAGAACCTATAACTACATTAGGTTATATGGCGGAGGGGAACTAAGGTTGTTAATTGGCTGACTTTAGGGGATTATCTTGGATGATCCTGGTGGAATCAAGATAATCACCAGGGTTTTGAAAAATGGAAGATGGCAGCATATGGAATAAGACAGAAATACTATGTTGGTAGCTTCAAAGATTATGGAAGGGAACAAGCCAAGAAATTCTGGGTAGTATGTAAAAGAAAAGGCAAGGAAATGTTTTTCTCCTAAAGTGTCCAGGAACACAGCCCTGCTGACACCTTGATTTTAGCCCAGAGAGATCTGTGTCAATTCTGAACTATAGAATTATAAGGTGATATATCTGTGTTGTTATAAGCTACTAGATTTGTGGTCATGTGTTAGACAGCAATAGAAAATAAGGCAAAGTAATCCCTAAATGAAGATTGCTCGAGCTGGTTTCTGTTACCTACAACCCAAAAATCCTACTCTGGATGGCTTGCATCTTTTACTCTTGGTTTTGGAATAATTATTCTGTGCCTCACAAGGCAATTTCTTTTCTAAATAATATTCTTTCACTCATTTATTTAATGGTAAAAATGCGACCATTGTTGAGTAGGATTGTTGTAGGAGGGACCAAAGAGAAGAAGCAACAGGTGCCCTCAAGGAGCATATCTACAGTGGAGTCACGGACATCCACAAAAGCAGAAGAGAAGAAGGGGCTGGGAGGGAGGTCTGGATAGTGCAGAAGTGCTGAGGAGGGCTGGGGCTTTCAAAGAAGTTTCTGGAAGGAGGAAATCTGATTTGGACCTTAGAAGAGGGAAGGATTTGCTGCAGGCTCAGCGGAGAATCAAAAGCAGCCACATCGGGGTCCTAAGTTGAGGGGTAGCAGGAGCGGAGACCTGGAGGAGGCCTCAGCAGGTATGAAGGTCAATGAAGATGGGGCAGATGAGCCATTGCCAAATTATGAAGCATCATTAATGCCAAGATAAGAAAGCTGACTTTTCTCCGAGGGCAACTGTGAGCTATAGACGGCTTTTGAACAGGGGAATGGCTGGTTTAGGGTTGTGCTTTGGAAGGGGGAATCTGGTTTTACTTTCCAAATGTTAAACAATCTTTGAGCTTCAAGCAATGTGTGTCTCCTGGGCCTACAGAGTCCCAGATATGAACTCCAACATGGAGGAGGCCGACTCCAGGTGCCTTAGGGAACTGGTGTTATTATGGAGTTTGTGGGCCTCTAGCAGCTCCCTCTACACCTGGGATACAGCCAGACTCGCCCAGGGCTGTGCTGCTGTCTGACATGTGGGCCACAGCTCTATGGTCAACTCCTCCTCAGTTGAAGTCTCAGCTCCTAGGTCTCCCCTCATACAGACCTTCCCTAACCCCTGTCACTCCTTGTCATTCTCTCCCAAACCAACAAACCACAGGTCGGGGAATGCACACACTGGTGGCAATGAGGCTGTTGATGTTGTCATAGGTGCTCTGAGTCAGGACCTTGTCCCTGTCCCT